ATGCTTCTACTGCAGGAATGAAGCCCAATCATGTGACAAAGCCAAGAAAGGTAGCTCAGTGCTCCACAGCAATAACAGTATTTACCCCCTTCCCAGAAGCATGCATGGTTCAGGGAAAAGATTGCAGCCACTCCAACTCAGGAAGAAGGGGAAAGGTCATGCACTAGACAAGTGCCTCTCAACCCCATCCCCCCCCCCCCTTCCAATATCCTGGCTGCCAAGGCAATGAAGAAGACAGAAGAGTCAGCAGGGAGTAGTGGAGCATTGACCTCAAGTGCATTGGTATCAAAGCCAAAGCTGTGGTGGGGACTGGGTAAGGACTATGACTGGGATAGGATATTGGCAGAAAAGTAATAGGTTGAATAGAGGCTGCCTTATGTGTATTAGATAGGAACAGTGAGGCAGACCTGGGGGTTCAATTGAATAAAGGGAAGGGGTGGATTTTTTCCCTTTACAGTGAAAGAGATTGGCATACTACACCATGTTTGCTAGTCTGGTGAGTGACATAATCTGTCTGTACAGCTGTACTATCTGCTCCATAACGCTGCCGTGGGAATTACCCCCAGGGAAAGCCTCCGCGGCGAAAGCGTGACTGAAAGATGCTTCCGCTAGCAAAGGTGCTAGTACTACTTGGCTCACTTCTGTTGCCCTCTGCTGGAAGACCTCATGCCTGCACGAGACCGACAAGACTCTCCTTCTCCTAGGCGAACAAAAGTCCGTGAAGGGGATCGCGACTCCCAAGAAGGGGAACGGGAACGGGAACGGGAACGGGAACGAGAGAGGGAGCGGGAACGAGAACGAGAGAGGGAGCGGGAGCGGGAGTATGACAGAGGACGAGAGCTGCGTGTTAAGCAGGAAGAGGAGAGGTATAAGAGGGTGAAAGAGGAGGAGAAGGATGAAGATCATGATCGGGATCGGGATCGGGATTGGCGCAGGACGAGAGAGCGAGATGGGGATAGGCCGCGTGAACGAGAACGAGAACGAGAACGAGAACGGGATCATGATCGTGATCGTGATAGGGAACGGGATAGGGACCGGGAACGGGAGGACAGAGAGAGTGAGAGGTACAAAGACGGCCGACCTGGTCGTATGAGGGATGACCGCGCTTATCGGCGGCGAGACGAACAGGACCGGAAGCAGGATCGTGCCCGAAGTTCCCGCTCTCCCCCTGCGCGGCGCCGCCCTTCCCCTCCAGCAGCCTTCCCCCCCTCCAGTCGCGCACGTTCCCCCTTCCCCCCCTCCAATCACCCCCGTTCCCCCTCCCCCCCAGCAGCCGCCAACCCCCAGTCCCTCCCAAACTTCGCCCCCTCCGGCGCCCTAGCCGCAGAAACCAACACCATGCACGGCGTCCTCCTCAAGTATAACGAACCCCCCGAAGCTCGCAGGCCGGAAGTGGGCTGGAGGCTGTATGTGTTCAAGCATGATGTGCAGGTGGAGATGTTAAGTATTGGGAGGCAGTCGGCGTATTTGGTAGGCAGGGATCGGGTGGTGAGTCTTGTTCTTTTCCTGCAATTGGAATCGCAGTTGCAATCGTGTTGCGTGCGTGGTGATCGACCTCTGACGGGAGAATAGGTATCGGATATCCCGATCGACCACCCCTCCTGCTCAAAACAACACGCAGTAATCCAATACCGATGCATAACATCCAAGAACCCATATGGAGATTCCCAATCTACAGTCAAGTGAGCCCCCCTCCCCGCGCAAGCACACCCTTGCTCAGGCTAATGATGCTGATGATGGGGGTAGACCGTTCATAATCGATTTGGATTCTACGAATGGGACGTTTGTGAATGGACAGGAGGTGCCGAAGAGCCGGTTTTATGAGTTGAAGGAGAAGGATGGTGAGCCCTGTTCTCTTGCTTTGCTTTGCCTTGCCTTTGCGTAGCCTTGCCTTTCCGTGGCTTTTCATGGCCTTGTCTTGCATTACCTTGCTGGACCGGAGCTGATAGGTGGGGTTTAGTGATCCGATTCGGGCAGAGTACGAGAGAGTACGTCTTATTACACGATGAGGCAGCGTAGCGCGTATCCGTACCCGTATGAGACCCGTCCTGCGAGGCGCTCGAACGGGAGGTAGGGTAAGTGGGAGGTGATGGATTACCAGCTGGAAGGATTGTAACCAAAAGCGGGTTATCTCTGCACGGGGCAAGTAGGATCATGCATTTGCGGTCATGCGAAAGGAGAAGCGCGTGAAACGATCGAAAAGATGAGCAATATAAACGTGTCCTGCGCTCATTTGTTCAGCAATACAGTACGCACGGAGTGCTGGCCTAATCGACCGAATATGAACCGCAATCCCTGGCGGTTCGTTGTACCTTGGCGATGGGTGGTACGCTTAGGATCTGGCAGGTGTGGGTGCTTACAGTACCGCCTGTTAGGGTACTGTAGGTGGACATGTTGTATACTATCCCTCTGAAGCCCTAACCCTGAGACAGGCTTGAGCGTCTATCATCCATCATTCACCATCTTCTCAACCCCCCGGGTCGTGCCTTGTGTCTCCCGTCTCGTGCCTTGCATACCAACCAGTGGTGTTGTTGTTGACGACATAATGTGATAGAGGTGCACGTGCCCGGGAAAGCGGAGTGCTAACCTTTGTAAACTGTCAATCGGAGGCGATTCGGCCCGTCGCTGTCCCAACTGGTTCCGTGCAACTCCGATCCATACTCCGCACTCCAAGGGGTACGTCATCCTTTGAAGCGGGTGCTAATCTTCCTCCATTGCACTGCCTTGTTATACAGTGAAAGTAGCCAATGAGCGATGAGCGGGAGAGTGAGGGGAGTGAGAAGGAAGTGCGAGTGCCTTCCAGCGGGTCTTTACTCTCTCTGTCCTCTCTCTCTCTTCTCTTCATCTCACTCGCCGGCTTATCGGAGTAAATCATCTCCGTCTAATAGGGAGAAGAGGATATTACATCACCCACTCACCCATCCATCGTCACTGCTCTCTCTCTTGCTCACCTCATCCACCCCATTCCCCCCTTCTCCCCATCATGCCATATCAGTAACACACCCTCATCACACCCATCCACTCACCCACTCACCCTCAATACCCTCAACTATACAACAATGTCATCAACAACAGACGACACTCCATCAGCTTCTCTCTCTGCTCCTACTGCCTCAACAGCAAGCTCAAGCTCAATACCAGGACAGGAAGACGACCCTGATACCGACAATCCAAAAGTACACATCACTCAGACCATTAAACCTATTACTCCTCTCCCTCCCAAGGCGTATGTCAATGACACCCGCAAACCACCTCTCGATCTCCTCACTAACGGAGTCCCTACTGCCAAACCTTCCATCGCGCCCGCACCCGCAACACCAAAGCAAAACGGGATATTCAAGCGCATGCTCTCTGGTAAATCTGACAAGTCCGGAGATACCCAAGCAGCAAGAGAAGCAAAGGACGCCTACGTAAGCTCCATGACCGGGACGGGAGCGGGCACGGGAAACGCGCACATCGACCGCCTCTCTCTCCCGAAAGACGCTCCTCCCATCGGGAGTGCCCCTCCCACCGCTGTGAGCGTCTCAGGCCCCCCGAGCCCGGGGAGTGACGCCCACTCGCATTCCGGAGCAGCGCGTAGCCCGAGAATGGAAGAAGACAGCCAGACCAGCTCGCACGATCATGTTCGCGCTTGGAGGGAAGGGTCTGCTCTCCCCCAGGGAGCACCGCCTTCCCGCCCACCGAGTCGTGCGCCCAGCGTCCGTTCGGGTAGGGAACCTTCCGTCCCTAGGCAGGAGAAGCATAAGCCGGAAAGCGTCTTCACCCTTGCGGGACTTATCGGTTCTGGCCCGAAACTGAGCCGGCGGCCAAGTCAGAGTTCGCGCAAGAGCGATAGCGAGCGCGGTGCGCCCTCTGCTTATGGTCCCCCGGGGCCGGTGGGGCTTAGCACGGATAGCGTGGCGAGCTTGACGAAGAAGTATGGGTATTGTGAGAAGGTGGCGATTGGCAAGGGGGCGACGAGTGTCGTTAGGCTTGCGCATAAGTGGGAGAGGGGAAGCGAGGAGAAGCTGTATGCTGTCAAGGTGCGCCGTTCTTTGGATGTGAGCGCTAGGGAGGGGCGAGTCTGACCATGTCTGTGCATGCAGGAATTCAGGAAACGACGCAAGAACGAGACGGAAAAAGAATACGTCAAGAAGCTCACCGCGGAATTCTGTATCTCCTCCACGCTCCACCATATCAACGTCGTCGAGACCGTCGACCTAGTGCAAGACGAACAACACCATTGGTGCGAAGTGATGGAGTACTGTGCTGGGGGAGACCTTTATGCTGCGATCAAGAAAGGAGGCATGTCGAGGGAGGAAGTGGAGTGCTGTTTTGGACAGATATTGAGAGGCGTTAATTATCTCCATTCGCAGGGGGTGGCGCATAGGGATATCAAGCCCGAGAACCTGTACTTCAACGCCAAAGGTCATGTCAAGGTGCGCGAACTCCCTTTCCCCACCACTGGTGGTACGGGGGCGCTGATGGGATGCATGCATGCACAGATTGGAGACTATGGAGCTTCGACGGTGTATAGGTTGCCTTGGGAAGCGACGATCCATATGAGTACAGGACTCTGCGGGTCAGAACCGTACATCGCTCCCGAACAATTCCTTAACAAGCGTACGTCCCTTCCTCCTTCCTTCCACATCCCCCGCCTGCCTCCCGGTATGGTATGGTATAGTATAAGAGACGTACTGACGAAACCAGCAGCGTACGACGCAAGACTGGTCGATATCTGGGCATGTGCGATCGTCTTCTACTGCCTACACTTCCAAGAACTCCCCTGGCGAGTCGCCCAGCTCACAGACCCTTTGTACGCAGCGTACTCCGCCGCCTGTCTCAGCTCCTCATCGAACAACCCCTCTTCTCTGCCTCCTACTGTCTCCCTCTTGTCGCCCAGAGCTTGCAGACCGCTCCTGAGGAAGATGCTAGAGCCGGACCCGAAACAGAGAGCGCTGATCGAGGATTGTTTAAGGGATCAGTGGTTTGTGAACGTGGAGGTTTGTACGGAACCGTTGAGGGAGGGGAGTAAGGGTCATAGGCATGTGTTGCCGGGGTTGGCGCCGTGAGCTGGTCTGTTCTGCTCTGTTCTGCTCGGGGGGTGAGCCTGCTGGGGCGCTCTGTCTCTACTTGGTTCTGGTTCTTAGTGCAGCGGTTGGAGTGGTTGAAGTGGTTGGTGGTTGGCGGTTCGGTTGGCCGTTGGCGAACGGTTGAAGGGTCGGACGACGCACGCTCCTTTAGAAAGCACGTCCCCGACAAGAGTTCCGATCCCGATCCCGATTTCGACCAAAATCCGACCAGAATACGGCGAATGCGATATGAAATGTAGCGATCTTGATCTTTATCCCTCCTTCCCTCCCTCACCACCCTCGCCCTCTATTTCTCTATTCCTCTCCCTTATTCCTCTCTAAACCGTTCGATGTCGGGCACGCCTGCTCTTCTGACGCGGGTCTACCGTTCTCCCCCCCTCTTTTCTTTCTTTGAAAACGTCTCTCTTCGCTCTTGTGTTCTGGCTCCTGTTTGTCTTGCTTCGCTTCATTCGCGTCCTTTTCCCCCGTTTGCACTCATGTTCTCCCCCATGCCGCATGGCTGCATGGGCTGAAATGAGCGGAGATATCCTGTGTTGTATGAAAGATGTCTTATGAGCCCCGTGTTTGTGTGCTTGCGTGCTTGCGTGCTCGTGCTTGGTCGCCCAAGATCACCAGGATCTTGAGGTACATGAGGTATGGTATCGTGAGAGCAGGAGACATGCAAAGTGCGGGGTGCGGGTTGTGGGGTGCGGGGTGCAACTTGGGTTCTCTGCCCCGCATCCCGGATGAGGGGGATAATGTGCACTGGCACTGTGCTCCTGCTTGCTGGACTGTGTCGACTGGGTGAAGATGATACTTGTGGATTAATATTATGGTATTGGGATACTTACTCGTAGTTGTCCAGGCCCATGGTGGAGGAATTGCCGCGTCCAACTTGCACGTGCTGCAGCTGCATCGTCCAACCTCGTAGAGGTGCCAAGTAGTCCACATTCCTAATTAATTGAGAATACCTCATAATATAAAGTATTTTCATGGCCCTTCTATTGAGTATTGGAGAATTGAAGTAAGCAATTAGGCAGCATATAAGGCTGGAGATTGAATTGAAGTTTCTGATAGGGTTTCCAGGCCCTTTCCCTGTGCTAATTGATTTCCCTTATGCACCACCCCCATGGAAGGAGGATCACGTGCTTCTTCGGGCCTAAGTAGGTTAGTCAAGGGGGTGACTATATAGCACCTGCGACAGCTCGGCATACATATCCCCTCTCCGCCCTCCGCCCCTGGGGGAAAAGATGCCAATCACACCCCAGTTCTACACCAGCGCAGTACTCTACTTCGTCTTATCGACGGCTTTGCTCTACCTACTCATGTCGAGTGACGTGAAGAGGGGGAAGAGGGTGGGGAAGAGGGGAGAGAGGGTGCTCGTTTTGGGTGGGGGGAGCGGTGAGTTAGTTGGTTGGCTTTTTCTGGGAGGGGGGTGTTGGGGAGGTCTGCGGGGGATGCTGGGGGGGTTAGGGCTGCTGGGGTCTTGCTGTTGGAGGGGGGTTATGTGAGGGGCGACGCGGGATGCGAGATGTGGGTCGTAAGATTCAGAACCGCGGCTGACGAGAAACAGGCATCGGCCGGTCCATCGCCCTCCTCTACGCAAAACGAGGAGCTCGGGTATGCATCGTCGCAAGAAGTGAAGCCGGTCTAGAGGAAGTCAAGGGCCAGTGTCTTTCTCTCCTCCCTAAGCGCGGCGCTGGTGAGAAGACCGGAACCACGGAGTCCCGGTCGGGGTCGGGGTCGGGGTCGGGGGCGGGGCCGGAGGTCATCTCCCTCGTAGGGGACATCGCGAGTGTGGACGATCTAGTACGGGTTAGGCAGGCGGTGCAGGACGGTGCGCTCTTTCGTGGAAGTGCGGAGAGGTACTGACGGCACGTAGCATGGGGAGGACTGGACACGCTCGTTCTCTCCGCTGGGATCTCCTCGCTCAAATCGCTGATGCACAACGCCGGCGTCCAAGGGTCGAACGAGGATGCCTCCTCCGAAGGGCTCGCCCATCTACAGGAGATCGTACGGAACGTGTCCGAGATCAACTACGTCGCTGCCGCCCTGGTCGCGGGGACGTTCTTCCCTATGCTGGAAAGGACAAGCAAGCTCGGCGCTGTGATGCTCATCTCTTCTGTGAGTGCTCCGCGTCCGTTCCGCGCTCACGCTGAGCAATCGCAGTCTGGCGCGCTGATCCCCGCGCCCACGCGCACGATCTACGGCTCCACCAAAGCCGGCGCCCTAATGCTCTACCAAGCGCTCGCGATCGAGCATCCCGCCCTACACTTCTCCCTCATCTGTCCCGGTACCGTCAACACCAATTTCCGGGCTTCAGCTCCGGACGAGGACGACAAGCCCGAGTTGGAAGAAAAGAAGCTCGAGCCGGAAGAGGTTGCCCAACGGGCGATTGAGGCTGTTGATAGTGGAGAGCGACTTGTCATCATGCCCTTCCGACACAAACTTGGGCATATATTGTATAATTTTGGCGCACGCCGGCTCATCGAAAACCAGGCGGCGAAGAAGTACAGGTGGACGAAGTGATACGCTTTTGTCTAATGCCACCTATCTTAGGGCTACGATGACGATAATAATCTAGGCATTTGGATGTGCTCGTTTGCCCCAACACCGCGACATTCTGTTGATCCAGAGTTACGACGGGTTTTCGCCAAATCAGGGCACTACTAGATACCGATCAGAAAACTGTTGCCTGATGCGTTAGATCATCTGTTGAGATGCAGGTTCTCCGTTGTATTCTCCCCTGCACCCGGGCGCATCACTTGTGACCTCACTATCTACATGACTGACCAGAGGGATGCATCCGATGTTCGGCCAGTACCTATTTACAGAGTAACCCGTCTATTCCAGCCGTCCACCAGTGGAGTACAAAGTAGTGCTCCTCTATATTAGTATGACAAGACATTCGACCCCGCTAAATCCGGCGTATATGGTGGGACCCGACCCCATCCTTGCCGAAGAAGTTTCTATCTCCCATTGCCAGAAAACCTCAGACGACGCTCGTCTCCACGTCCGCCTCTTGCACATCCTCCTTGCTATCCTTACTCCCTTCCAGCCCATCTGTTATTATACCGACTGTATCAGCGTCATCCAAGTTTGACCGCGGGCCGTGATAGTGCCTATGACCACTGCACAACGTCAGCAACTTTCTACTGTAGTAAAGGGAGCACAGACGTACTCGATCATATACCACGCTCCGCTCAGGACAATCACGCCCACAGTGATCACACTCGCGTAGTTCATATTATCTGCAGTAACGGGCAACACGTTCGGCATGGAGAATATGACGCAGATGAACGCGGTCCACAGTGTACAAACGATATTAGCTCCCCAACCAAGGAGCCCGTCACCCATGTAGAACGGGCCCGGCTTGAACTGCACGTCCGGGTGGTGTGCGTATAGCCGCCTGAGGATGATAGGGATGACATAACTCGAGTCGAGTGCGATAGCGCACAGGGAGAAGATCGCATTTGCCGCGATGGGGCTGGCGAGATCTAGCAGACCGGGGAGGATAGCGATGAACGTGTTGAGCCAGATTGCGCGCAGGGGAGTTTGGGTTGTGCGCGAGATGTGCCCGAAGAACAGCCGGTCGGGGAGTCCACGATCTCGCGAGAAGGCGTAGATCGTCCGGGAGTTTGCTTGGAGCGCGGTTTGGACGACGAAGAATGCTGTCAGGCAGACAAAGCTCTGAAGTTCGGGTTAGAAGACAGCGAGAGGGGCGAGGAGAGGCGTACCCAGAGGAAGAGCGCGCCTGGCTTGCCGAGTCGTATAGCCATTATCTGTAGGAAGGCGCTCCCGCTCGTGCCTGGGAGGTCCTCCAACGGGCCAGAGCAGAGCACGACAACAACATTCAATATCCAACCCAGGACGCCAGTGCCGATCACAGCGATGAAGATGGCTGCTGGAGCGGCATATGCCGCGCGCCGCACTTCTTCGCTGATATGAGCAGTAGCGTCGTAGTCCGTCATCGTCCATTGCACACTGAGCAGACCGAAGAGGAACGCGATGCCTGTGTTCCAGCCGCCGGTTTGGTTCACGATCCCTTCGGAGCCGAAGACGTAGGATGCGGGGTGCATCTCCGAGCGAGGCGTCTTCGCCAGGAGGCAGATGATGATCACTAGCGCGCAAGTTACGATCGATTAACTAAGCCAGATAAGGAAAGGGACGTACATGCCGTAGTGCCCAGGTTGACGAACACGAACCCCTTTGTCAAATGCGCCAGATATCTTGTCGCGAGCGAGTTCTACCACAGCTGGTTATTATAAGCCCTCCCACGAGGAAATAGAAGCCGACGGACCAAAACACCATGCAGGCATAACAGGCCCGCAAAGAGCCCTACGACCATCCCTTGGGTGACGACGAACGACCCGTCTGTGGCGAGACTGACAGCTGCCCAGATCATGTTCGCTAGCCCGAATTCGGTCGAGGAGACGCCTGCTACTTGTCCTGCGTGATGTTAGTTGGTGTGCACGGGGAATGGCGGAGGCGTACCGAGGATGTTGAGCCAGCCTACCACCCAGCCTACTCTTGCTCGACTGCCTTTAGGGCAGAGCATCGCGCTGGCGCTGTATAGGCCGCCGCAAGTGGGAAAGGCACTCACGATTTCAGCAATACTGGAGCCGAGGGTGAAGCACATACAGGCCCCGAGTAACCAACACCAGGTTACGGATGCTGGGCCACCGAGCAGGAGAGGGGTGTTGAACGTCGTCGCTATGGACGAACAGAGACCCATGATGCTGAATGCGAAGGATATCTGAAGAGAATGAGCTGAGAACGGGTTTGGTTACAGGGGAGGCTGCATACGGTAGCGAGGTTCGAAAACTCGCGTTTGAAGCTCGGGACATAGCCTAGTGCTTCGAGCTCTCGGTCGTCTTCGCTCAGTTCCGCGGCGGGGTTGCGAGGCTGAGGGAGATGCTTGGGCACTTCAGGGGCCGGAGTGGACATGATGGCAGTTGCAGGAAGCAGGAATGCCCAAGAGAAAGATAAGGCGAAAGGTCGTGAGACGCTAATGTCGCGTCCTTAAGATATCAAGTGTAGTGGTGCGGAGGACGGCCGCTGATATGGCGTACGGTTGTTAATGCTGACACGGGCGATACGGATATCCGGTGGACAGCAATTCGTTGGACAGCGAACAGCAAACAACAAACAGCACAACAGCAAGTGCTAATGCAAGTAAATTCGAGGTCGTGCGACCTGCTTATCAGCCACCTGGCCAAGCATGACGTCCGGATAGCCGGATGGTGGGGCACACGACCCCAATAATACTATCTGTAGAGCGGGTTTCTCCGCATGTCCGCGTGGGGTGTGAGGAAAACTTTCAAGGAGAGGACCCTGACACATGGTATGCCATCATAACCGGGTCCATTCCGGTATCTCGGGCTCCATACTGGCATTCCTTCACCTTCTTAGTCTCGTTCATCAGATGCTCCACATCACAGCCACTTTTGGTGCTGTAACGCCCACCCAAGTTCGTGACTGGCGGCTAAGTCCGAGTGGCAGTGCTCTCAGTGGCAATGCGCCGAAAGTCCGAAAACTTCCTGCCGGTATGCCATTACCCCCTGAATTCCGCACCCGATAATGTCGGCTCACTTCCCTTCGGTCATATAGAGTGATCGCAGGGATGTGAATCCACACCCAGTGCTGAGTGTATGGCTCTGCTGGACAAACCTGCCAAAAACTATTGGGATCCGGACCGGTGAGCTTGGCATATCTAGGCGCCCAACTGCCGCTTTCGCAAGGACAGCTCACGGCAGACAAAAGCATTCCAGTGTGGGCTCGTGATCCTTTCTGCTCGGAGCTTCTAGTGATAATCAACAGACCTCTTTTTCCTGGATCTCAAAAAGCGCCGAGCATCAACCCGCTCCCAAAACGAGGACGAGGGCGTCAATCGAGGGAGGGAAAGACATCTGCTTTCCCGGCACCTGCACCTTACTAGTGTCTTCACCCTGCCTGTTCCGCCTGTCAGCTGCTCACCTCCGTCCCGCTCATTCTAGAAATCCAACAAAAGAGTCATCCCCCTTCTCTTCCGGTTGGAACAGCCTCCCACAAGGGTGCAGAGCCGCCTGGTCCGTGCTTCCCGGGATGCCCGTCATCTGCCCTCCTGCGCTCAATGCCGACCCTTCGCGTCTCCAGCGCGACACGCCCTCCCGCTCGGCACTCATGCTCGGCATCCATTCTCTCCTCATATTTCTGCACATGGGTTTGCCGTTTACGGCGCGTCTTATCCCGGTCGCATGCAAGTAAATGGCCATTTTGGAGGGAAGCCACTTTTCTGCCAAGCATTACCTCCGGGCAGAGCGCGTCCGGCGGCCTCGCGCAGGCTGTGAACCTCCTGTCCTTCCTCCCTTGCTAACAGGACCTTGATTGGATAAATCCTGGCGGCGATGTGATGTTATCCTCTGCGGTGCATCCTGTCTGCCGGGCTCGGCTTGGCGTGCCAATCCCTTCTGGACTGAACCGGGACGTGCTCCCCATTATCCAGTGAGAGATAATCGAGATCCGCACCTCTTTTCTCCTCTCCGAAGATTCCACTCATCAAAAGACCCATCAAAATCGGGAATATGACTGCCTCCCCTTCCAGAGCGGAAAACTGGGCGTCTGTCTATGCTGGTTGACGGCAGACTTCCAGAGGTGGAGAAAGGACCTTGAGAGAGTATATATGTGCTCTGACCGGAATATGCGTATCTCCATTCCTTTCTTCGTTCTGTGACCATTTACCCCCACACGCATCAACATGCTATCCCTCCCACTAACACTTTTGCCCCTCCTCTCTCTCCCTCTCCTCTCCCTGGCATCCCCCCTTCCGTTCTATCAACCCCATACATCTCCCGCAGCCGCCCTCTTTCGGCGTCAAAACGCTTCCCTCCCTGCTGTAGGCACAGATGCGTGGACAGCCCTCTACCCCTCTGGCTCTGGGACACCCTCCACCATCCCCCAGGCGTGGCTAGACGCACTGGCCGCGGCAGAAAACAGTGGCCTAATCCCAAACATCAGCCAGTCTACACTTAATAGTCAATCGGGGATGACTACGTGAGCTGATCTTAAACATTACCATGTGTGTTGGGGCGGTGCTGATGATACATTGCCTGTAGGTATCCGGATGGCCAGGATCCGACAGGGACGGAAGTCTGTTCCTTTACATACCAATGTAAGCCCCTAGCTCAATTTCTACACGTGTTTCTCAATATTCCCATAGGCAATGTGACAACCGACATCGTCAACCCTCCGGAAGGTGTAATTGCCCTTACCTTCGACGATGGTCCCATCCCCGGACCCTCTGACACGCTGTACTCCTTCCTGTACAATAACTCCCAGCATGCGACACACTTCATGATCGGTGTAAACATCCTCGGAGCGCCGACCCAGTTCCTCACCGCTTTTGGGAACAACAAGGACCATATCGGCGTCCACACGTGGAGTCATCCGTACCTTACCACACTTTCGAACGACCAGGTCGTCTCTGAGCTCGGCTGGACAGTGCAGATCATCCACGACTCAACAGGCGGCCTCATCCCGTCCTGCTACCGTCCTCCTTACGGGGACACAGACAACCGTGTTCGCGCGATCGCAGAGCACGTGTTTGGGCTGAAGACCGTCACGTGGAACCAGGATAGCGAAGACTGGATGATCGGCGATGGCACGACCGAGGAGGCCGTGGAAGGAAGCTTGACGAATTGGGTCGTGGATGGTGGAGGAGTGCAGGGGCAAGGCTTGTTGATACTCGAGCACGAGCTTATGGACACGACGGTGCAAGCGTTTATGGATATCTATCCAAGCATGAAGGCGAACTGGACGGTGGTATGTCGCTCTTCTTTGTTCTAAGAGCAGAGGTCTGATAAAATTCACCAGAAAACTGTACCAGACGCTTTCTCCTTCTCATGGTACCAGAATGGAAACGCTACCACCCCCGCCTTTTCGCTGGGGGTCGCCTCTCCTGTTCCGACATTCACTACAACCACCGCCCCCCCGAACTCGACTCCCCCCGCCACCAGCTCGCATGCCAACAACACCGTTACTAGTACTGCCTCTGCAACCATCAGCGCACCAGGCGATAGGACTCAGACAGGTGGCGCGGGTAGGACCGCCACCAATGGGCTGCTTGCCCTTGCTGCATTTGGCATGGTCATGGCGAGCCTTCTTTGATTGGACTAATTTGGTTTCCCGGTAATTTGGCTCCGGGAAGACTACAAATTTTGTATTGATATGGACTCTCTCTCGGACTACGGTTGGAATGCGTTTTGGACACGTACTTTCGTTAGATCATGGACTATGACAAAGGGACAATTAATGCGGTACCTGACCGTCTCGGTGTCAGGTTATTATAATATCAATCGTTTGCATAACTACGACGGCATGCGAGATGCGGGAGCTACTCAAGCTCAGGTGTGAGACGGATCAAGGTGCTGGACTTCACAGCCAAGCGCCAAGAGCTCATTCTTCGAGGGGGCAGGAACATGCCCCCCCCGTTTCACCTGAGATTGATGCCAGCCTTCAGGGGGACATAAACTTTGCTAATTTTGGCGACACCAGGAAAGCATCCGGTTGATGAACACAAGACCAGCAGCTAGAGGAAGGGAAGGGAATACATCCTCTGATGAGTTTCCGAGCGTAAAGGGTAATAGTGGATCGCCGTTGTCTGAAGACTGAGAGCAACCCAATAATTGGGTTTGTTTACATGCAGCCTGCTGATTATATCTCAGCAGGTCTCCAATTAGCCAGGATCAGCCCGCGGCCGAAGGCCTTCCCTATTGTGCTCTTCCAATGGAGTTTGTACTATGGTAAACAGAAGGCGGAAAGCACCAAGACCACCCGTGATTTGTTGCCAAAAATACCCAGATTGCCGTGTTGATAATGCCCTGTGGTTGGCGGGAAGAACTTCCTGCTTCCGCCGACCCCAGAGATTCGGTCCCTCGGCGCGACACGCCTCTCGTGCTGTGCAACTCCTCCTCCAGCGCTATTTTCGCAGCCCTCTCCTCCGTCAACGTGATGGTGCTTCTTGGTCCTGGTCGATACTACTGAACTGAACGCCGGCGGATAGCCCAGCTACCAGCCTTCTTCAAACAAGTCGGCCGGCTGGGTGCAGCCTGCAGACTTGGCTGTCTTTCTCGGGCCTCCCACGAACACTTGATTTGACAACACTCGGCTGCGATGTGATGCTTTTCTTCTCATTTTGTGACAAACTTGCAGTTGTTCTCGGGGCTGGGATTGGCAAGCCATATTTTTGTGGGCTGAAACAAAACGTCGTCTAGTATCGTCCAGCCTGAGAGCCAAAGATAAACGAGATCCGTCATTCTCTGCGCCTCCCCGACCCTTCCTTTATTCACGAAGGACGATTATGTCTGTCTCACCTATTCGTACGCAAATGTGAGCCTCTGTACTCCGTTTTGGATGATCCGGTTGTGGGTGGGCTCGATGAGCGTATATATGCATGCGTTTGCTCACCTTTGCTCTGCGCACATCTCCAGTGATTTCTTCATTCCTCCTCCACTCCGCCGCCTCCTACTCCCCCTTTCCCCCCTTCTCACACGGTTTAGCATGATGTCCCTATCACTAAGTCTTTTCCTCACCTTTTTACTTTTTCCCTTCCTTTCCTTCGCAACTCCTCTTGCGTTCTACCAACACCCTTCGTCTCCGGCTACCGCCCTCTTCCGGCGCCAAAACACTTCTCTCCCTACTGTCGGCTCAGCTGCATGGACGGCGCTCTATCCTTCTGAATCTGGAACACCTACCACCATTCCTCAATCATGGCTGGACGCCTTGGCTGCGGCAGAGAACCGTGGCTTAATTCCGAGCATTAGCCAGAGCACTCTAGATGCTACGACGGGAGTGACTACGTGAGTTTCTTCAAATTCGAATGGGTTGTCAGGCAGAGGGCAGTTCTGACGCAATGTGCCGGATGTAGATATCCGGATGGCCAGGATCCGACAGGGACGGAAGTCTGCTCCTTTACATACCAATGTAAGCCCCTAGCTCAATTTTTACACGTATTTCCTAATATTTCCATAGGCAATGTGACCACCGACATCGTCAACCCTCCGGAGGGTGTAATCGCCCTCACATTCGACGATGGTCCCATCCCCGGACCCTCTGACACGCTCTACTCGTTCTTGTACAATAACTCCCAGCATGCGACACACTTCATGATCGGTGTAAACATCCTCGGAGCGCCGACCCAGTTCCTGATCGCTTTCGGGAACAACAAGGACCACATCGGCGTACACACGTGGAGCCACCCGTACCTCACCACTTTGACCAACGATCAAGTAGTCTCCGAGCTCGGCTGGACAGTGCAAATCATCCACGACTCTACGGGGGGACTCATTCCGTCTTGCTACCGACCCCCATACGGGGACACAGACAACCGTGTTCGCGCGATCGCAGAGCATGTGTTTGGGCTCAAGACTGTGACATGGAATCAGGATAGCAACGACTGGACGATAGGAGAGGGTACAACTGAAGAAGTGGTGGAAGGAAGCTTGACCAACTGGGTTGTGAATGGTGGGGGGGTGCAGGGCGAAGGATTACTGATACTCGAGCACGAGCTTATGGACACCACCGTGCAGGCATTTATGGGTATTTATCCAAGCATGAAGGAGAAATGGACGGTGGTATGTTCATGTTGCTAGCGGTATGTGAAGACCCCAGACTTATAACGGCTTAATCAGAAAACGGTGCCCGACGCTTTCTCGTTCACCTGGTACCAGAATGGAAACTCCAGTACTACACCTGCTTTTCCGCTTTCCGTCGCCTCCCCGGCTCCGACATCCACTAGCACCCCGAGAGCGCCTACCAGCACTATCAAATCCGCACACACTAGCACTGTCACAGCATCCGCAAGTAAGGGAAGCATGGCGCAAACGGGCAGTACCAGTAGGATCACCGCTAGCCATCTGCTCGGGCTTGTCGCCTTGGGTATGACTTCGGTAACTCTTTTCTGATTGGAGCGAGCCTTGTAGTGGCGGTTCTCTCTACGTAAGCTCATCGTTCCTTTGTAACAGTGAGGACTCTCTTGCACTTTCGGATAGACCGTGTTTTTTGGACATTGTGTTCGATTAAGGACTTTGACGGGACAATCAGTCGGACCAATGGGCCATCTGTCATTATTCGATGATCAGGATAACATTCGTTTAATAAATAATCTTGTGCAAGGACAGAACAAACTGCTACAAGTGTGAAAGTGACATAAACTGGGAGGGATCTCGCACTGGCATTTGAACCTGATTTATGTGCAGAATGCACTTTAGTGTCGAACCTTTCGTTCTGATCATGGTAGACGCAAGTCTTGAGTATTCTTGTAACGGGAAGCACATACAGTTCACATCATGCGCCAAGCGAAGTTGGTGAACACCTGAAGACCGGAGATTCCTATGCCGAGGTTTCATAAGCCAGAGGGTTATGAGCACTGGAACAACAATGCAAGAATCGTCGAGTGTTCAAGGAAACAACACAGGCAAGGTAAGACAAGGTAAGTGAAGTCGAGAAAGCCATATTTGAAGCTGTTGCAGTCGTCAAGCATACAAGAGAGGACAGGAAAAGACGGCTGGGTATCCTAGAGCCACCCTCACCCACCTTGCAGGTTCAAAAGGGCCCAGACTGAAGCCAATTGAACACTGTAGGAGGACGGCGCCCAACAGGATGCACAACATAGTTGGTCCTGTCGAGGAGAGGGCAAGGCGGCAAGCCACGAGAGGACCATCTATCAACGTAGAACCTCGGCACCGAATCTAGGTGCAGAGAATTCTCCTCCGCACCGGATGGCATGACCGAGGTAGATGGATCTACACGCACTCTGAAGCATGCGAGAGGATAGCGCAAAAGGGGAGGGCGAGCCAGGGCAACGAAGAGAAGGAGTGAGAAAGAGGAGTACATCAGCGAGGGCGTGCTCATTCATCAGCAATTCTGCTGGGCAGCGCACTTCATTCGGCGATGTAGTCAACTATCGCACGTCCAGAAGGGGAGAACCAGGGGAGGGTAGAGATGAAGGAGACATCAACGCCTCCTGAAGCTTTCTATATAACACCACCGTTTTCGGTGGTTGGTGTCTTCCCCGACCATCTTGAAGGTGACCGTACAGGGGAGATAATGAATAGGAGGGGAATAAGCAAGGGAAGGTTGATACATACGACCAAAGGCGGAAGTATGGGAGCAATGTGGTTTGGAACCGTACAGTTCTTGAAAGACATCACGTGATGATATGATGACTCTGCCGTAGAACAAATCCGATGCGGAGGGAGATGGCTCATGACGCATGCCGTTACATACACAATGAAATCCTCAATTTTATCTACCCTAAGATACAAGAAAGTGACACCCGAACCGAGGTAGGATCAGTACCCTCCAGCTTGGAGCGCTCCCGCCTGTACCTTGCCCCCGCTTGCAGGGCGAAGGATCTGGTTCGTCCCTTCCAAGACGACGAACGATCCCGATTGGCTATACACCATCAGCATCATGTCAACAACCACAGAGAGGAAAGAGGACGTACAACTCGTTGCTGTTCCTCGTAAGTATATCTGGGATGGCAAAGTAGTTCGCAGTCACGTTATGTGCCGAAATATGGAGTTCGAAGTACCCTCTATAGAAGCCTTCGGACCACAACAGGTCCGGGTTGGCAGCAACCAAGTACTGCGAGATAGCAGCGGACATGTTCGCTGGCAACGTTTGCCCGAAGGGGGATGGGGAGGAGACTGCCGTACCGGCGAACTCGACCAGCTGACCCCTGGTGTCGGTGCTATTCTTCCCGAGGGCCTTAGGGAGGGAGGACTCGAATACCCAATTAGCGTGCGAGTCGCCAGAAAGGACGACAACGTTGTCGATTGAGTTGTCGTACAGGTGTGAGAGGACGCGGTTGCGGTTCGCGCGGTAGCCGTCCCAGGCGTCAAAGTCGAATGTCGTGCCTGGTTCTAGGCCGGTATAGTTCAGCGCTCCGAAGACGATCTGTTGCCCGACGATGCGCCATGTTGCGCCCCGCTGGACGGAGGTGTCTAGGGTGGAGTAGAGCCAGTCTTCCTGGTCCTTCCCCATGAGGGAGCGGGAGTCCTCGGTCGAGGAAAGTGTCCCAACATAGTCGGTGTTGTAGTACAAATCCGTGATATCGCGTTCATACTGGCGGGTATCGAGCAGTGTCAGATCGAAGAGTTTTCCAAACTGGATGTTGTGCCAGATTCGGAGCTTGTCGTCGGCCGCGATTTGGCGGATAGGCTGCCACTCGTGGAATGCCCGGATGGCAGAGGCCTTGCGCTCTGTGAAGCAGACGCCGAGGATGGAGCATCCAAAGGCCGTGTCGTTCGTATCGGCCGTGCCAGCCTTCCAAGCTGCAACCATGTTAACCACCTCTTGGGCTTCAAGGGGTGAGCTTACCCTGGTCAGCAACATCATGGTCGTCCCAAACGATGTACCACGAGAACTGCCTGTGTGCCTCCTGCAGGTCCGGGTCAGTCCTGTACTGCGCAATACGCGTACGGTAGTCGCTCAGTGTCGCGATCTCCTTGTCAGGCAGGGGCACACGGCCGATAGAAGTCCCGTTCCCGTAGTCGCCGTTCTTGTACTCGTAGATATAGTCTCCGAGGTGAATGTAATAGTCTACCGATTCCTTAACAGTGGGGTTTCCGAACGCCTGCAATACCCCAACATCAGATGGTGCCCTCGCTCACTAGGGCAGGACCACGCACGTTGAAGAACCCGAAAGGCAAGTTAGAACATGAGTAGACAGCAAACCTCTGCGTCCCGACTTTCTCAGCGGGCGTGTTCGCGTCAGGCGCAGTCCTCCCCCGCCCAATGGGACTCTTCTCCTCCGGCTTGGCGCAGTTGGCAAACTGGTAGTAGTACAAGCTAAGCGCATACAGTGCCTTCGCTTCGACTTTGACGGTAAAGTCGACGTCGTAGGACGTGTATGCCGTCCCTTTGAGCACAGGGGGGCCTGAAGCGTGGGGCGTTGTGTACACAGCGTACGAGACGCAGACAGGGACGTCGACCGCCGCTACCTGGGCCGGGAAGGCACGGGTCCAGATGAGGAACGACTCCCCATCCGGGTCACCCGAAGCGACAGAATGTGTAAAGTTGACCGAGCCAGAGTAGATATAATCGGCGTTGCTCCAGTCCGCTCCGCCGAACTTGACGTACCCTTCGTCCCCCGTGTTAGGGGTAGGTTCCTGCGGGAAAGGGCCGAGGGGGTCCATAGGTACCTCCTGCCGCTTCCGGAGGTGGGAAGCGAGGGAGTGCAGCGTACGCCTTTGGAGCTTGTGGACGGGGACGGCGAGTTGCGGGTGGTTTATGGATGGAGAACGGTAGACCAGGTTGTTGGAGTATGATGCTAGGGCCAGAGGGGCCAGGAGGAGGGTGAGGGCGAGCATGATGTGTCTGTCTGCTGAGGACGCCTAGGAGGGATAGCTAGCAGCCCTGGAGTCCTAGTGTGCTGGTGTTCGGCATTTAAAGACTGGAGTGATGTACAGCATGACAGCATAGGATTGACCATGTGGGTGTTGTTCGCGAATTTAGAGCCACGATGACTGTCTTCCATGTTGAGAGATATTCTAAGCACTGCAGATTGCCCAATCAGGAGAAGCACATTCCAACATGAGCAAGGCACCACTATCCATGTGGAGCGTTGTGGGATGGAGAGAGAGTGGGAGAGGGAAAAAGATGCCAGCCAACGACCAAGGAAGCGCAGTGCGAACGTGCGAAGTTTGCCAGGAAATGAACCATGGGAGGAAGGGTGGATCCATGAGGGTAGTTGATGAGCGTTATGTTCAGGGTCATTGTTGGCTTCTGATGACTAAGGCATGATGTGAGACCACGCCGGGTTCTTTCGTGACGTCCTACCTTTGGGGTCTTCCATACTGAGATCAGTCCATTGTTGTGTCGCAGTAGAGTCCCGTATCACTACGCACAGTAGCCGTATGATGCGGCCACAGGGATACGACTAGGCTCGGGGTTCCAGAGTCCCATCCCACGCACGAAACGCCCAACAACCCATTGATTACCAATCTAAAACAGAGTACTTTTCAACTTCCCATCAACCATTTCATTCCCACAAAGTTCAAAGTTCTTTCAAAGAAACCCAGACCCAGTCGTGCAACGTGCATCGTGCAACTACTGCACCGAGCCAAATCCTTGCGTACAAGTCTTGCCAATCGGCCCAGACCCAGAACGCATATAACAGATCTTGGCCGCTACGCACGCCGCGCTCGTGCAGTTCGGGCTCAGCACGGAAGTCTTACCCTGATACGTCGTGAACTGCTGGATGAGCGCCGGGTTCTGCTCAAACTCTTCCGTGACCTTGTGCCACCAGGTAGCGTTCAGCGGAGCCGAGGCGGGCCAGGAGATGCTCTTCCCGTACGCCTGGCGGGTGCTGTATTCGTACACGAACTTGGGGCCGTGGGCGGTCTGGTTGTCCAGCGACGCGGTGGCGGAGATGTTCGTGTACCACGTGTGAGCATCGAGGATGTCGAACGTGACGGCGTCGATCTCGTACATACGGAATCCAGAGTTCAAGTTCGTAAGGGGAGTGATGGACGGAGCGATCCAAGCGACCGCGCCTGCAGAAGCGGCAGAGATGTTTGTAGCGTTGTTTGCGTAGAAGATCTGGAACTGGTCTTCGTGCGTGTGGCCAAAGAAGATACCGGCGATGACGTGCGGTGCGTAACGGTCGACGATCTGGTAGAACAGGTTCGTAGGGTTGTTCAGGGGGTTGGAGCCGTCCCAGCCTGAAAGGACGTGGCCGATGATCCACGCGCGCTCACCTGCGTCCTCAGCTTCCTGTAGCTCGTCAGCGACGAACCGGAGCATGCCGGATGGGTCGGACTTGGTCATGTTGATGTAGTTGAAGTAGTTCGCCTTGTACCACAGGTCAGTATTGATGGTGATGATGCGCAGGCCGTCGGGGCGCGCGACGGAGTAGGCACCGTAGTGCGCCTTAGCCATCGCCGCGACATCGGAGGAGATCCAGTCGTTGTTCTCCCAGAGAGTGGAGAGGGTGTCGTAGTTCCAGGAGAACTGGGTGCTAAGGTTAGCCTGGCCGAGCTGGGTGCCGAGCAGAGCAGGCGCGTCCTCGGCCTGGTTGTAGCTGTCGTGGTTGCCGATCGCGGCGTAGATCGGGCCAGAGCCGAGGTACTTCTTGTACAAATCGTAGAGCACCGTCTCGGTGTACTCGACGTACGTCTGGGAGAGCTCGTTCTCAGGATCGTGGGAGACGAGGTCACCGGTGAAGATGGTAAAGTCGAAGCCGGAGCCCTCGGTGCCGGTGACAGCGGGAATAGCCTGGAGCGCAGCGAGGGCAAGGTCGTAAGGCGTATCGCAGGTGAACCACCCGTAGCGAGGAGCAGGGAGCAGGACCTGGTTAAGCGAGTGCGAGTTGGGGTTGTTCGCCCTGCAGCAGAGGGAGGAAGTGCAGTTCGCCTCTGCGAAAGTAGCATAACGCGCATCAAGATGGAAGTCAGAGATGTGGAGAACCCTGGCGCGCTGTCCAGAGGGAGGAGGAGCAACTGCATTCGCCGGCTTGGGCTTGGCAAAGTAGCCGGTCATGTTGAGCGGGCTGGGGGGAGGGAGAGGGCAGAAACCGGAAACGAAGTTGTTGCAGATGTTCTGGCCGTCATACCCAGCAACATCGGCAGCAGCGAGGACCTGGGCAAGGACCTGGCCGAGTGCGAGCGGTCCATAAGTGTTCTGGCACGTGGTGGAGAACTTGAAGTAATTGCACAGATTCACGGCGAGCGTAGGGATCGACTCGGGGGTGACGAGCGCGACAGCTTTGGCGACTTCGAGCCCAGCAAGGCAGCGGGAGCAGTTGTTGCCCCAGCCAGAGTTGTTCAGGTTGGCAATGTTGACGATCTGATTGAACGCGTTCTGCACGAGAGGGCCGGCTGCGTCGGTCGACAGGAGCGCGGGTGGGTACGTGCGCGGGTCGGACGTGTCGTTCACCGGGATATTCTTGGGGTCAGTCAGGCCGGCAGCGAACACCTTGCCCGTGAGGACATTGGTGATGACTGGCTGCGGCTGCTCGTCCGTCAGAGTGGGGACGTTGTAGTAGCTAGCAAACGCCTGTATCGAGGTAAGTGTATGCGCATATATCTCACTTTAAACGCACCTCGGTAGGGAAGACACCCTGGGCGACGTAGGTCGGGCTGCCGAGGGCGAGGCTGGTCTCGCCGGCACGGGCAAAAGCGACGAGGGAGAGAGCGACGACAGCGAAGAGCATGGTCGTAGTCCGCGATGTGCAGGGAGCAACTCGTCCTGGGATGCATTGATGAAGGGGGGACTATAAGGCACAGAGGCTCCGAGTGCTTCTTTCCCATATGCACCAGGTTCGCGAATGGTTGGGAATGAGACCGGACTCCGGGTTCGGGTTTACAGCCCCCGTTCGCGCGCACCTTTGTCAGAGGCTATCAGTACATTCCCATGAGCACACGGGGTTGCTGATGATGATGGAGAACGTGCACCACACACTGTCATCTCTCCCTCTCCGCCGACCAACGCCATTCATGCAAGCGCACATGCCATATGCGGACAGGGACGTGCGCCCCCGGTTGGAGAGAGCACACTGTACACTGTGTTCATCACACCCTCAGACAGGATGGTAAACCCGAAACATGCGTTAGGGCAAGAGGAGCAAGTGGTGGTGAAGAGGGAAGGGAAACAGAGTTGGTTGTCTCCACCCCGGCGGCAGCGTATCAATATGAACTGGGGGTGAGAAGAAGGAGGAAAAGTGTCTCATGTGGTTGGCACTGGAGGAAGAACAACGTCGAACGTGCCTCGCGTGGATTTCCCTGTTGGTCCAACAGGGTCCGACGGTGAGACACCACATGGAGCGGAATACGTCACCATTTGGTTGTTCGATTTCCCTCTGATTCGAGCCAACCAGAGCGTGTGGACTCAAAGACGTGTTGCTTCTCCGGTAATCCACCTCAATACCCTCCGCGGCTAGACTACGCGGAGGGTATTGGATCTCGTGCGACAGACAGGGATCTAATCTGACGTGATGTTCGCATCTTATCTCTTAGTGGCGAGGGGCGGGTGTTGTTCCATCCATGTTCATGATATCCGACATCAGCCTCGGTCGGCTACAAAGTAATATTGTCAACCTTGGGTCTAAGACACAGCTCTGTCCCTGCTCATCTATAACTGTCAACGCGAACGTGATGTAACAACAACCTGCAATTCGGTTCCTCCCCGACGCCCCTGCAGTTGGAAGTCCCTTCAACGTGCTTCCTGCTCCATTCAATAATGACTCCTTTGGGAAGGATGTGGACTCACGAAGGCTATTTTGGGTCTGTCTTCACTTCGCTCGTGCATCGCCCGGCTGAGAGGATCAACTTCGGCAGGCACACACTCCATGCGCAAACAAAGGTCCATCAGTATGTTCAGTCATTCCGGTCTTCCGGTCCTCGTTCGTCCTTGGAGGGTATATAACACCCAGCTTGGCACTATTGGATTCCCTAGGCACTCAGTCGCTCTCCTACTGCTTGCCCCTCAACGCCAAGCTTCTCGCTCAACAAAGCTACAATGGCCGTGCTATCCCTGCTTGTGCTTGCGTCCATCGCATGCGCCCAGACCGCTAACCTCTTCCCTCCCGGTTCCGTCGTAGGCTACCCCGGGCCTACCCCTAGTACGTCCCTTCCCATCTTCCATGTTCCCGATGCCTGACCACGTGTAGCGGGTATTGAGGCTTTCGAGGTCGCCACCGGACCCGCAGCGCCCGCGCAGACCAACTACTTCCCCCTCGTGCGCTTCCGCCCATCCGATGAAGGCGCCAACGGGACATACGACCCCTTCGCGGTGTCGTTCGGCAACCTGTCTCCCGCGTTGTCCCTCCCTCCCGCCACCTTCTCCCCAGACTTCGTCAACAGCTCCGCGCTCATCCCGCCTCAGTGCACGCTCAACCAGGTCCACCTCCTGCACAGGCACGGTTCGCGCTACCCGACCTCAGGTTCCGCCCCCGCCTCCTTCGGCGTGAAGGTCGCCAACAACACGGGCAAGTTCAACGCCTCTGGTTCCCTCTCCTTCCTCAACAAATGGCAATACGGCCTCGGAGCGGAGATCCTCACCCCCTTCGGCCGTGAGCAGCTCTTCGAGCTCGGCGTCTCTTTCCGTGTCAAGTATGGCTACCTCCTCGACAAGTTCGCCAACGGCACCCTTCCCGTCTTCCGTACCACCTCCGAGGACCGCATGCTCAAGTCCGCCCTGAACTTTGCTGCTGGCTTCTTCGGCATCCCCTATGAAGACCAGTACCACCAGAGTATCCTCATCGAAGCGACCGGGTTCAACAACACCCTTGCGCCCTACGAGACCTGCACGAACGGGAACAACGCCAACAGCGCCGGTGGATCAGCGGCTGTCAACCTCTGGGTTCCTATCTACCTCAAGGACGCTGCTGCCCGCCTCACCGCCCAGTCCGGCGGGCTCAACATCACTGCCTCCGACGCGTATGCTATGCAACAGCTCTGCGCCTACGAGGTCAACGCGCTCGGGTACTCTGACTTCTGCCCTCTCTTCACCCAGGAGGAGTTCAAGGGTTTCGAGTACACGTTTGACCTCAGCTTCTGGTACAGCAACTTCTTCGGAGGGCCGTACGTCGCTGCCCAAGGTATTGGCTACGTGCAAGAGCTCGTCGCGCGCCTCACCCAGACCCCCGTCGCTGTGCACAACTCGACGACCAACTCGACGCTCGACAACTCTGCCGTTACCTTCCCGCTCAACCAGCCCATCTACGTCGACGCATCCCACGACACCGTCATCTCCGCCATTATCGTAGCGATGAACTTCTCCTCTCTGGCCGCTACGGGCCCCCTGCCCACGGACCACATCCCCGCCAAGAGGTCCTTCATCGTTTCCCAAGTCGCGCCCTTCGCGACCCAACTCGCGGGCCAAGTCCTCACTTGCACGGAGGGCAACTCCACAGAGTCCTACATCCGTTGGCTGCTTAACGACGCCTCCCTCCCGCTGACCAACATCCCGGGGTGCGCTGCCGACCCTTATGGCCGGTGCCTCACCTCCACCTGGCTCGCGGCGATGAAGCAGCGTATCCAGCAAGTCTCGTTCGCAAATGACTGCCTTGCTAACTACACAATTGCCAACGTCATCGGTGCCAATATCACTGATGGCAGGCCGCCAAAGAGCGCTGTCTTCCACTAGATTACCTTTCTTCATAGCAGGACACTGCACAACTTCGTAAAAATAGTAATTTTGCCAAATATGTTTGTGGTTGCGATTTGCGCTCAGGCTCACACGGAGCGTTGTTAGGAGTGAAATGTGTCTTTCCAGGGACTTTGTCAACCGTGTTATTGGGAGAGCATGCATACTTAACGACTTCGGCCATCTCATCACATATCAAGAAGCTCACATATCAAGAAGCTCTCGCTCATAACGCACGCACGTGTGTAGTATTGACCTCGGCAAGCCAAAGTATCCGCATGATTACGTACTAGTACATTCAACCTATAATCCACAACAGTGTCAACCCCGGGGAACTTGCAACTACATGACTCGCCAGTCAGATACCGAACCTCCCTTCCACTTTCCAGTCACCAACGTCCATTCGTCAGGAAGTCGGCTATCAACCGTCTGGTATCCTACATCTCTCAGTGCCTTATGCGCATCTGCGACAAGCCTCTCGATTGGATCCGAGTCCTTCCCCGTTGCGGGCTTCAAGTATATTTCCAGAGTGATCTCGAAGCCGTTCACCCCGTCCACGGGTTTTATTTGCGGATGAGAGAGGATATATAAAAACAGACAACTTGGCAGCATACCGAATGAAGGAAGATTCGGGTGGTATGCTGCGTCCGAGTTTCCATGGCAAAACCCAGTGTCCTTCCCACTCCTCCCAATGTGTCGAGCCACCGTGGGATGTCCTGTTCTTCGGCTCTCATCTGCAGTGTTAGGTCCTCTACGCCAATATGCCTCCAAAGAAACGGAAGCCAGTTGATGCAGCTGTCCACGGTCAGCAGCAGCCCTCGTAATTCCGTGAAACCTAAACCCCGAAATGCGTTCTTAAGCGTATCGGAGACTTGCTGATCTTCAATCTGTCGACCAACGATGTTCGCCGAAATGCTAAGGTATTCCAAAGCGTGGATCGGACCGAGCCACGTAAAGTCGCCGTCGCAATCCAGATCAAGCGACACCATACTGTGCAGATCAACGGAAAAATGCAGGGTCGATCAGCTCGGCAAGGAGAAGGCTCGAGTCGAACTTGGCTATCTTCAGATACCGAAGCGCGGAGCAACGATTGGGTAGGTTGTACAATCCACGAACCGAATCATTACCGAGTTGAACCGAACTAGTGGAGGGGAAAATCGACAGGTGTAGACTTCGCAAGTGAGGCGCAATAGCCATCATCCACGAAGAAGCCGAAAGTAGGTTGGGTCGTATTTCATGGAGACACAAGGCGGTGAGCGGTGGCAAGTTAGGCGTAACATGGGTGTGCCAAGGAAGAGCCGTGGGGTTAGGACGTCTTGGAGGAAGGTCAACGTGACTGAGCGAACAGTCCGTTGTTGTACGAATCGCCAGCTTCTCGAGCTGCAAGAATGTCGGCAGCCGGAAGTCGAACCAATTCACGATAAGATGTATCTTCACCATGATGCAACAGCGAACCTGGAGGTCCTGGATGCGTGGTTGAACGTGATCGAGCCACTCCAGCTTTTCCACCAAATCTCGTTCTCGCACAGACCATGTTCTGTCAGTGCCGCGTGAACCGGCACATAGATCAATAGCGACTTGGAGTGGGGTTGCTCCGCTGCGTTTGGCGTATTCGGACGCTGCTCTGGGGGTGAAAGGTTGGCTTTCACTGAACATGACGTATGACCACAGTACCGGGGTGTCCTCAAGCACCCTCTGCCAATTCTTGCATACTGAGCCAAGAATGGTCGTGATGCGGCTATGGAGGCGGGGATGATTGATCTGCTTGAACAGAATGTAGTCTTGCTTCACACATTGATGAAAGATGACGACTAAAAGAACGCTAGGCAATCGATCCATGTCTAGTATTTGCTTAGTATTGGTTATCTGGGTGTTACAAGACATACAATCGCGTGTTCGGAGCAAGATGTTGCGTAGTTGACACTGTTGACTTCCAGCATCAATGCGTCTCTTGGAAGGGACAGTGATCAATGCCAACGAGTGCCGTTTGTAGCTGACAGAGGTTTGGGTCGGATCCAAATGACCAACATTTTCATACATATGGTGGCTGGCAAAGGGGTCGGCATAGCAACGTGTGTAGTGCTTCTCCGTGTGAGACGGACAACAAGAGCAGTGGAGGATGCTTGAGTGGATCTCCATTGATTCAAATAACGCGCACAAAGCTCGTGTCGATCCGCAAAATTCGGGGCAGAGCGCAGAAGGCGTGATCCCCGTTGCAGTCCCACACATTCGGAGGGCGAACCGCCGGGTGAGTTTCGGAAATCCGGATAGGTTGCGTGTTCGATAAGTCGACAGGAGTGTGCAACAGCAACTGACGTTGAGGTCTCGCATGCGTGCTTTGATTTGGTTGTGTCATTCAAGCCTCGGTAAAGGCCCTGTTCTGACCTCGTCGTTTTGAACAGGCATGCAGATGTTGTTTTGGCAGAGGTCGAAGGTGATCAGCGAAAGAAGACGCTTCGTTGAAGGTGTACAATCCCTTCCGAAGGGCTGAAAAGTCAACTTTGACAGGGGGAAGGTCGTCCCTGTTACAGAACCAGCCACCAGCTCTTGCGTACCTGGACACAGCGGTAATATTCTACGGTTGCGAGATTGGAAAGCGTGGTTAGCACATTGTACGCATTCGTGAAAGATAGTTGCAAGAATCTCGTTGGATTGTTGGTTTAGAGGTGATCTTCTGATAGCCCGCCAGAACGGGCAGAAGGGAGAGATCTGTGGGCGATAGCAGCAAGATCAGATATGCTATTTCTCTGATACCTGGCGGATGGGCGCTTACCGAACTGCAAGGAGATATTGCGGTGGTCCATGGGTCCATGTGAAAAAGGTTCGCACTATTCGCCAGGGGCTGATCCACGGAATTGCTCCAAAAAAGGAAATAACTCATAACTGCTCTTGACTATGTCAACAACTCTGCATGGGAAAAACCATCCTCGTTGAGTTGCGGCGGCCGATGCACAGAGAGCAATCACAAGAGAGAACCAAGGCATTGTTTTATTGCGAAGTGTACAAACAGCTCCCTTCTACTCCTCTTCACTCAGAGTGCTCCCTTCCACAGTCACGTCTAAGACAAACCAACTCACCTCCACACCAAACTTCTTGAACACTTCTGCCGCAGCCCCCGCGATGGAATCGTAGTTGCTCACAGCAAGGGCGAGGATGGTGGGCCCCGCCCCAGAGAGGCAGATACCTAACAGACCGGGGTGCGTGGAAGGAGTCACAGAGGAGAGGACTTGTGGAAGGCCGGGGATCTGGGAAGTGTTAGGCCGCGTCTCATCTGAGGAATGGGAAGCGTACCAGCTCCTTCCGGTAGGGCTGGTGCACCCGGTCTTTCATCGCCTCATAAATCAGTTCTGGGTCGGGGGGTGATCGCGATAGTGCCGTGGTAAGCACCGCTAATCGTTGAAGGTTAAACACCTGCGCAGCGTGATCAGCGATCAGCATAGAGTACCCCCGACACATTGGAACGTACTAAGTCCTTCCTTGTATACTCCGTTGGCAACACACTTCTCGCCTTGGCTGTGCTAACTTCGAACGCGGGGACGATTGCGACCGCCCTGATCTCCTTGGCCCATCCGAACCGGACATAGTGACCGATGCCATGCGGCGGGCTAGGGGGATCGATCCCCCACTCCTCGCCTGCATTTGCTGGATATTCTGGAAGGACCTCTGCTAGAGGTACAGAGGCTGCGGATGTGGCAGCTGCGTCGAGTTCTCGAAGGTAGGAGCCCACGAAACCACCCATTAGAGCGGCGGTAACGTTGTCCGGGTGACGTTCGACCATGAGGGCAAAGTCCAGCATCCTATTCCTGTCCAAGCCCAGCTGACCTAGAGCATCTCCCAAGAGCACACCGGCAATGACTGCTGCGCCAGATGAGCCTAACCCGCGCCCGAACGGGATCTCGTTGTGGCACTGCAGCTCAAGACCGGATGGGAAAGAGGGGATGCCGTTACATCGCAAAACGTACAGTGCCACGCGCGTAGTAAGGTTCTTATATGCGTCCAGGGGAACCTCGTCAGAGCCTTCGCCTGTGTAGGATAGCTGAGGTTGTGGGTTGGGTGTGGTGAATGTTCGTGGCGGTGGGTCGCGGGGCACAGAAACGGAGAGTGTCAGGAACAGGGTGAGCGAAACGCCCATTACATCGAACCCAGGGCCGATGTTGGCCGACGTCGCGGGCACTCGTATAGTAAATCGTCGTCGTGTTGACGGTTTTGAAGCTTGTTGGGCGACCATTGAGAGGAGATGTTGCTCCATTTCTTGTCGTCGTTGTCTAATTCTATAGTGCAGGAGAGACGTCGGAGTCGCACCGAAATTTCACAGGTCAGGGTCCGCTTTGTTTTTCATCCGTCAAACCTGGTTTTTCACTCAGCCTCTTTTCATTCCCATCACCTTGTTTGGGTCGACCAACATGCAGGCGGGTAACCCTCTGCCCGTCGAGGTGTTTGCATCTCTTCTCCCTGCTTTGGCCGAACAGGTTCACACCTTGGCTCTTGCCGAGCACCCAAACATTGAGGAGGCTGTGAGCATATTTTCATATTCGCCGAGGTCGCCGATTTTCTCACGCCAGGTCAGGCTGCAGCATTCCGGGACAAAATCGCCGAAGCACGCACACTCATTGAGAACTTGCACGGGGGCGATCTCAGCCTCAGCGACCAGGAGGAAATCATCAAGGGGCTGAAGCAATTGAAGCAGTCCAAGCTGTACGCTCCTTTCGTCAGTTGATGTCTGTACAATACTGACCCATTCACAGGACGCAGCTTGCACTCTTCCAAAATCCAGTTGACGTCACGCTCGAAGGCAACACAGGGAGCCCGAAAGATGTTAGCATGACAACGTCATAGATACCACTTCAATTGCATTGGCAATATCCTTGAGCACAACCGGTCATCGCCGTGAAGAGTGACGTGCTTTACTCACACCCCTGAGGTAAGCATTGTCTATCCTTTTCCATGGGACTTCTCGTCCGTTTCTGTGATGACTACTTCCTTCTCTTCCCCGGCCTATGCGACCATGCCGAGACGCAGAGTAGCGTTGGTTTCGCAACCTTCGCGCGCACCCACGGGTGCTTATATACACTTGCCAGTGTGATTTTGTCTGATCTACACGCGAATTCATTTTCAGACTGCATGTTAACCCTTGTCTTAGGAATTGATCGAGCAGGTCAAACTGTATAACGCATCACGTTTGTGCCAGACGACCTGTGAGTGTTGTTCCTGTGTTTCTATTTGCCTTACCTTTCGCGTCCTATGACGAAGTATATTCCGTTTTATTCGCAGTTTCCACTCTAGAGCACTAAAGTCCCCTTCGCATTCCCGTCGTATATTCCCCCTCTTATGCCGCCTGAACCCAATTGGTGGGCACAGAGTGTGGGCCGCCTCTTTTGGGAGGTGCGTTGCGGCTCGGATCGTTCGGGCAGCTTGATGCGGGTCGATCGACCTTCCTTGGAAGTCTGAGGACGGGGTGTTTCTGATTGTTTGGTGTCTGAAGTGATACAAGCTGACAAATTCCTCTGTACGTAGGCAGCGCACGTTGTGTGTGAGGTGTGTCGGCAATGGCACGAGTTTACGGTCAGCTGTCAGGGTTCTCGGAACTGCTGGATGCGTTGGGTTAAGAGGCGGCCGCATGAGGCTCAGCATAGCTTGTACTTGTTCTCATACCACCACAATGACTACCAGCGCACCCATTCTCGCGATAGACTTAGACGATACTGTCTCTGCTACCAATACAACACTTATACAATGTGAGCTAGTGAGGTGTGAACAACGACATGACGGGCTTATGAGGCGACTAGGGCATAATGATATTCACGGAACCGCCTTGACTCTGGATGACCTATACTGTAAGCAGCTTACAAAGCGCGTACCCACTCGGTGCCTCATGGAAGCGTAGATTACCATTACTGGAAGGTTTGCATATCGATTGGATTTTGCTTTCCTTGAGGCTGATATCATACAGACGCCAGGCTGGGGGAACCCGGAAGGTTCGTCAGCTGCATATGTACATGTACGTTTGTTGACATCCTTTCAGAGGCAATGAAGAAAGCGCGCACTTTCTTTGGTAGCCGCCACTTTTTGGAGCGCAAGCCTGTTCCTGGAGCTGTCGAAGCCCTCCGCCGACTGAAAAAAGCGGGGTACAAGCTCGTTATCGTCACGTCTCGGGGAGACGACCTGAAGGCTGAGACAGAAGCCTGGATTGCTAAGTACTGCCCCGGTGCGTCATGAATTCTCATGATGGGCTGAGGATGGTAGCTGATGAGGATAAAGACGTGTTCGAGGATATCCATTACACGGGCGAGTTCTTGAGAATGAAGACGGACGAGAATGGGAATGTCGTGAGGGTGTTCAAGTCGAAAGCCGAGGTACGCAATTATAACATTATGAAACAGATAACGCGGAATTGATAACACATGCAGGTACTGATGGAGATTGGAGCCGTTGTCCTCATAGATGACTGTGTAGACCACACTCTTCACTGCGCGACATTCGAACCTGCGATCCCAAGCCTCTTGTTTGGAGAATACCCGTGGGGCAAGCGGCAGTCGCCGTTAGTGACCCAAGAGGACTATTGGAGCTATCAGAAGAGGGTGGAGAAGGGCGTTCATGATCAATGGATGGAGAGGGATCGGATTATTGCTTTGCCAGACTGCATTACACCCACTAGGAACTGGGATGAGGTGGAGAAGGTCGTAAAGGAGCTTGTGCCCATTGCGGTGGCTGCCAACTAGAGCCTTCATTGCAGGACCGATATAGAATTTGGACATGTAATTTTAATTAGGAAGTAGCAAGCACACTTCTGTATTCAGAGAGCATTGCCGCATGTTAACGTCGTGGTGTGTTGTGCGACAAGGTCGCGTTCTGAAGTGAAGGCGCGAGGCAAGGGGACGCGTCAACGCCACTTTATACCTTGTTCAATACGTATTATCTGGTCATCAACCTGCTAGACTTAGACGACAGCATATAACCAATATATCATCACGAGGATGGATGTGAGGAAGTCGAAATCGAACACAAGAACAGCACTGATGCCTGTGTTCTCAGGGATTCCAGGCCACATCCTCGACCGCAGCAGCGGTCACATTCATCACATTCGTCCAGGACCTCAAGCGGAAGACCAAGGAATGGGAGGACATGGTCAGCCTCTGTGCTAGTGGAGAGAAGACGCTGGAGCGGTTTCGATACAACTTCGGAGATGATTGGCTGTATGCGGATCAACTGCGAGGGGAATGGAGCGCATATAACGAGATTCTGAAGAGAAAGAATGATGCGATTCAGGAACAGCTCGGTGATTCAGTTGAGCTCTATCCTGGAAGACCTCTCTGACCTCTTTGGATAGCTGGTCTTCAGTTGAAGATTGTCGCCGAAGACAATATTGTTGAGAAGCGCATCGGTGATGCTATCGAAGAATGGGAGCAGATCCGACCTGTTCAAGGCAGCGTCAAAGCCGAGACCGCACTCAATACGATCAACGCATTCGAGGTGAAGCTGACGAAGGTTAAAGACGATTATGACCTTGTCTGCCGTGCGAAGGAAGCTCTTGACCTTGAGCTCACTCGTCACAATCGCCTTGATCCCATCTTCGAGGAGCTGCGTGATCTCAAGGGCGTATGGACCGCCCTGTCTGGTATCTGGTCCCAAATCGCCGACTTGCGCGATACTCCCTGGTCCAGCATCATCCCCCGAAAGCTTCGTCAGTCTCTTGATGGTCTTCTCACAAGCACGAAGGATATGCCCAATCGCATGAGACAGTATGCAGCCTTCGAGTTTGTTCAAGATACGCTTAGGGGCCATGTCCGTAACAACCCTATGGTTGGGGAGCTGAAGAGCGAAGCGCTGAGGGAGCGCCATTGGAAGTTGATGTTCAAGAATCTCAAAGTTCAATCTTACTCTCTTACAACGTGGGTAGCATACGCTATATACCAGCGCTTTGCTGATTTAAGCTCAGGATCACACTCGGACAAGTATACGATCTCGACTTGAAACGAAACGAAAACGTCATTAAAGATGTTATCATCCAAGCCCAAGGAGAAATGGCTCTTGAAGAGTATCTTCGCCAAGTTCGCGAGACATGGAGTCAATATCCTCTCGACTTAACACCATATCAAGGAAAGTGTCGCCTGATTCGCGCATGGGACGACCTGTTCTCCAAGTGCAGCGAAAATTTGAACTCCCTCGTCGCAATGAAGCTCTCGCCGTATTACAAGGTGTTCGAAGAAGAAGCAGCTGGATGGGAAGAAAAGCTCAATCGTGTTCACGTTCTCTTTGATGTGTGGATTGATGTTCAACGACAATGGGTATACCTCGAGGGCATCTTCTCAAACAGCGTCGATATAAAGCACTTGCTTCCTGTCGAGAGCGCTCGATTCCAGAATATCAACACCGAGTTCTTGAGCGTGATGAAGAAAGTTTACAAGGCGCCGTACGTTATGGACGTTCTCAACATTGCAGGCATTCAGAAGAGCATGGAGCGTCTCGCCGATCTGCTTACGAAAATCCAGAAGGCGCTTGGTGAATATCTGGAACGGGAGCGTGCATCATTCCCTCGATTCTACTTCGTTGGTGACGAAGATCTGCTCGAGATCATCGGCAATAGCAAGGATATTCTTCGTATCATGAAACATCTGAAGAAGATGTTTGCCGGTATTGCAACTATTCTACTTGATGAAGATCTCACCCAGATCTATGGAATGGCTTCCAGAGAAGGGGAAGAGATCTTGTTCCCCCTTCCTGTCATTCTCAAAGACTATCCCAAGATCAACGACTGGCTTGCCAAGCTCGAGGCACAGATGCGGCTCTCTCTTGCCGAGCTGCTCAGTGAAGCTGTCAGTGAGTTGCAGGGGTTTTATGGTGTGGAAACCGACCTCGACAGAAACGCGTTTCTTCAGTGGATCGACAAGTACCCTGCTCAGCTGGTCACATTGGCCGTGCAAGTGGCCTGGACGGTGTCTGTCGAGACGGAACTTAGCAATGGAAGGACCCCATCTGGTCCTTTGGCGACCACCGAGCAGGGATTGGATCTCCTCGCTGACATCGTCTTGACGGACCTGAGCGCAATCACTCGCCGAAAGTGCGAACACCTCATCACTGAGCTTGTCCATCACAGAGATGCAACTCGTATTTTGGTCAACAATCGCGTATCAGATCCTTCGTCATTTGATTGGCTCTATCAAATGCGCTTTTATCTCGATCTTTCAGTCAGCGACCCTCTGGACCGATTGAAAGTCCGCGTGGCCGACGCAATGTTTCCGTACGGCTGGGAGTACCTTGGTGTCCCGGACCGGCTAGTCCAGACACCGCTGACGGACCGGTGTTACCTCACTCTAACACAGGCCCTTGATCGTCAACTTGGTGGATCTCCCTTCGGTCCTGCCGGAACTGGTGAGTTGATGTGGGTATACTATTTGCACCGCTGCGACTGAAGGGAAACTAGGCAAAACAGAGTCTGTCAAAGCCCTCGGTGTGCAACTGGGTAGATTTGTCCTGGTCTTCTGTTGCGACGAGACATTCGATTTCCAGGCGATGGGTCGTATTTTCGTCGGCCTGTGTCAGGTCGGCGCCTGGGGTTGCTTTGACGAATTCAATCGCTTGGAAGAGCGTATCCTCAGCGCAGTATCACAGCAAGTCCAGACCATCCAGCAAGGCTTAGCAGATGTCGTGAAAAATCCTTCTCTCGAGATTGAATTGGTAGGCAAGAATGTTAAACTCAATCCGAACATGGGCACGTTCCTCAGATCGATCCCTCATTGCTCACGAACTAAACTCTCCGTACAGGTATTTTTATCACCAGTAATCCGACGTATGCAGGTCGCTCACAACTGCCGCCGAACTTGACCAAGCTGTTCAGGCCGTGGGTCATCTGTCTCTTTTTTGGCACATAAGGTCTGACCATTTACATGCAGAATGGCGATGAGTCGCCCAGACAGGGAGCTCATTGCTCAAGTCATGTTGTTCTCTCAAGGTTTCCGCACCGCAGAAGGTCTCGCTTCCAAAATTGTCCCGTTCTTCAATTTGTGTGAGGAACAGTTGTCGCCCCAAGCTCACTACGACTTCGGTCTGCGGGCATTGAAGGCAGTGCTCTCCAGCGCTGGCATTCTCAAGCGAGAGAGGCTGCAAGTGAACGGGAGATCAGAAGTCGCAGATGAGACATCTAATGGGTACAGTGAACAGTTGATTCTCATCCAAAGTGTCACGGAGACAATTGTACCAAAACTCGTGGCGGATGACGTTCCTTTGTTGACAAGGTTTGTTCTTCCATCATGACACACTGTTTTCGGTGACATTCTTTCATAGCCTGCTGTCAGACGTCTTTCCAGGTATCGACTACGTACCTGTCGACCTCGATGTTCTGAAAGGCCATATTCTGGACGTCAGTCGGGAACGTCATCTCGTTCCTGGTGAGCGCTGGATTGCCAAAATTCTGCAATTATACCAGATCCAGAAGATCCAACACGGCTTGATGATGGTTGGTCCATCTGGAACCGGGAAGACAAACGCGTGGAGTATTCTCCTTGCGGCGTTGGAACGCTTCGATGGCACTGAGGGTGTTTCTTACATCATTGATCCCAAGGCTATTCATAAGGATGCGTTATATGGCACGCTCGATCCCACCACTCGTGAATGGACTGATGGACTTTTCACGCATATTCTTCGGAAAATTGTTGACGACGTTCGTGGAGAGAGCTCCAAGAGACACTGGATTATATTCGACGGCGACGTGGATCCCGAATGGGTCGAGAACCTCAATAGGTATGTACTTTATTTTAATAGTACAACTGCCTCAAACCTGCAATTAGTGTTCTTGATGATAATAAGCTGCTCACGCTGCCCAACGGAGAGCGACTCAATCTTCCGCCAAATGTCCGAATAATGTTTGAAGTTGAGCATCTGAAGTACGCGACACCGGCAACTGTCAGTCGATGCGGTATGATCTGGTTCAGCGACGACATCGTGGACATACCTATGATGTGTCAACATTACCTGGATACCCTCCTGCACACCGGTCTCGATGCGGATGAAGAAGATACCGACGTTGCCCGAGCATTATCCACCTCTGCAGAAAGATCCTCTGTCCTTGCTACTCAACGAAGCGTGGTCGCTGTCTTGGAGCCGTTCTTTGCATCAGATGGTCTGATTCAAGCATCTCTACTGCAGGCAGAGACTTACGAGCATATTATGGACTTCACACACATTCGAGCTCTTAATACGCTTTTCTCCCTGCTCAACAAGACCATTCGAAATATTGCCGAATACAACATCCAACATTCTGATTTCCCTTTGTCAGTGGAACGGATGGAACAATATGTATCCAAGCGTCTTCTAATTGCGCTCATATGGGCATTCTCTGGTGACTGCAAGCTGGATTCCAGGGCCGATATGGGTGGATTCCTTCGAACTCAGACCGGTATTGACATGCCAGCGTTCCTACCTGGCACATCCCTCATCGACTACGATGTCATTGTCTCTTCTGGGGAGTGGATTCCGTGGCAAAGCCGAGTTCCAACTGTCGAGCTTGATTCTCATGCCATCACCCAGTCAGATGCTGTTGTGCCCACGGTGGATACAGTTCGCCATGAAGAGATTTTGTATTCTTGGTTGTCGGAACACAAACCTTTGCTGCTATGCGGTCCTCCCGGATCGGGCAAGACGATGACACTCTTTAGTGCTCTCCGAAAGGCCACGAATCTCGAAGTGATTGGGCTCAACTTCTCAAGTGCTACAACACCAGAGCTTGTTCTAAAAACGCTCGACCAATATTGCGAGTATAGGAAAACGCCCAATGGTGTTGTGCTTTCACCCGTTCAAATCGGTCGATGGCTTGTTATCTTCTGCGACGAAATCAACCTACCTGCGCAAGACAAATACGGCACTCAAAGGGTCATCTCATTCCTTCGACAGCTGGTCGAACAGAATGGTTTTTACAGGACCTCTGATATGGCGTTCGTCAAGCTGGAGCGTATACAGTTCGTAGGAGCCTGTAACCCCCCGACAGACCCTGGACGCGTTCCTCTGACGCAGCGTTTCTTGCGCCACGCTCCGCTCGTCATGGTGGACTATCCGGGAGAAATGTCTCTCAAGCAGATCTACGGCACCTACAACAGAGCTCTGCTCAAAACCCAGGCAAATCTCCGGGCCTACGCTGAACCATTGACCGATGCTATGGTTGATTTCTACCTCTCTTCTCAGAAGCGCTTCACCACCGATATCCAAGTCCATTACGTTTACAGCCCTCGTGAACTCACTCGGTGGTGCCGTGGCGTGTATGAAGCCATTCGTCCCTTGGAATCACTATCCGTGGAGGGCCTTGTCCGCGTCTGGGGTCACGAAGCACTTCGACTATTCCAGGACCGGTTGGTTTCAGAGGATGAGAAAATGTGGACAGATGAACGCATTGATACTACCGGGCTCACCCACTTCCCCAACATCAACCGTACGGAAGCACTGGCACGTCCAATTCTCTTCTCCAACTGGACCTCTCGGCACTATGTGCCTGTTGACCGCGACCAGCTCCGCGAGTACACCAAGGCACGTCTGCGTGTCTTCCATGAAGAAGAGCTCGACGTTCCTTTGGTCTTATTCAATGATGTCTTGGACCATGTTCTTCGAATCGACAGAGTGTTCCGTCAAGTTCAGGGCCACCTACTCCTTATCGGAGTCAGTGGAAGCGGAAAGGTAGGAACGTGATATCTTTACTGTCGTTTCAATGCTTATGTCACAACCAGACCACTTTGTCACGCTTTGTTGCCTGGATGAACGGCCTTAGCATCTTCCAAATCAAGGTCTCCAATAAGTACACCGGTGCCGACTTTGATGAGGACCTGCGAACTGTTCTTCGAAGGGCAGGTTGCAAGGGAGAAAAGATCTGCTTCATTATGGACGAGTCAAATGCGTTGGACTCGGGTTTCCTGGAGCGACTCAATACATTGTTAGCTAATGCAGAAGTTCCCGGTCTCTTCGAAGGGGACGAGTACTCAGCCCTGATGACAGCATGCAAAGAAGGCACTCAGCGTGACGGTCTGATGCTAGACTCTAACGAAGAACTTTACCGCTGGTTCACTTCTCAAGTCGCTCGCAATTTGCATGTTGTTTTCACAATGAATCCACCGCAGAACGGACTGGCCTCCCGCGCAGCAACATCTCCAGCGTTGTTCAATCGTTGCGTGTTGGATTGGTTTGGCGACTGGTCCGATCAGGCATTGTTCCAAGTCGGCATGGAATTCACGAACACGCTGGATCTCGATATTGCATCGTACGCGGCACCTCTAAACTTCCCAATCGCTTACCGACAGATTTCACTCCCACCATCGCATCGCTCCGCCGTCGTGAACGGCTTTGTTCATGTGCACCAATCTCTCAAGGAGTTGAGTGCGAAGCTTAGCCGTCGGCAAGGTCGCTACAATCACGTAACTCCACGACACTATCTTGATTTGTGAGTGTTACGTTCGTTGCGAGTGTTCTTCCTCACAGAGCCATTAGTATTAATCATTACGTACGCCTGCACGGAGAAAAAAGGGAAGAGTTAGAAGAGCAGCAACGCCATCTCCATGTTGGGCTCGATAAACTTCGCGACACGGTGACGCAGGTAGAAGAGCTGCGGAAGAGTTTAGCCATTAAGCGAACCCAACTCGCTGAAAAAGATGCCCAAGCCAATGAAAAACTGCGCCAGATGGTTGACGATCAACGCGTAGCAGAAGAGCGGAAAGCTGAGTCTGTCCGAATTCAACAAGAAATCCATAGGCAGGAGCGGTATATCCAGGAACAGCGGAAGAAAGTCATGGCCGACCTGGCCGGTGCAGAACCAGCCGTGCAAGAAGCTCAAGAATCCGTCACACAGATCAAGCGTCAGCAGCTTACTGAAGTTCGATCAATGACAAACCCCCCCGAAACGGTGAAACTTGCCATGGAGTCAGTTTGCACATTGCTGGGTCACAAGATTGATAGCTGGAAGACGGTTCAAGGGATCATTCGACGGGATGACTTCATCGCCAACATTGTTCATTTCGACACTGCCCGGCAGATGACCAAGGCGTTGCGCGACAAGATGGAGCGCGAGTTCATGAATAAACCCGCGTACAATTTCGAGCGTGTCAATCAGGCTAGTAAAGCTTGTGGGCCTTTGGTGAAATGGGCAATTGCGCAAGTTCGATATTCGGAAATCATCGACATGGTGGAGCCGCTGCAAAATCAGCTGGAGGAGCTGTCAGAGGAGGCCAATCAACTGCGTCTCCGTGAGACACAGCTGCACAGCATGATCTCGGATCTCGAAGCGAGCATCGCCCAGTATAAGGTGGACTATGCTGCGCTTGTGGGCGAAGTGCAATCCATCAAAGCTGAACTGGAACGCGTCCAATCGAAAGTCGAGAGGAGTATGACTCTTCTGGGGAGTTTGTCCTCAGAGCGCGAACGCTGGGAGGCAGAAAGTCGTACGTTCGACATCGAGATGGGAACCATCGTTGGCGATGTGCTTCTCTGTGCCGCATTCCTGGCTTATGGAGGTTTCTTCGACCAGCATTATCGCGAAACTATGTGGCAAGAATGGGGTTTCCATCTGACAGAGGCCGGTATCCAGTTCAAGACTAATTTGTCTCTGACGGAATACTTATCAACCGCGGCCGATCGGCTTGGTTGGCAAGCCCATTCGCTACCGTCGGACAATCTGTGCTTGGAAAACGCGATCATGTTGCGCCGGTTCAACCGATACCCCCTTATCATCGACCCTACTGGGCAGGCCACTACATTCCTCATGGAGGAATATCGAGATCGGAAGATGACTGTCACCAGTTTCCTGGACGACGCATTCCTGAAAAATCTAGAGAGTGCCCTGCGTTTCGGAAATCCACTTCTCATTCAGGACGTCGAACACTTGGATCCTATTCTCAACGCAGTCCTCAACAAAGAACTTCGTCGTACAGGCGGCCGTGTTCTGATACGTCTCGGAAACCAAGATATTGACTTCTCCCCGGCGTTCACCATGTTCCTCTCGACGAGAGATCCGTCGGTTGAGTTTTCACCTGACATATGCAGTCGGGTCACTTTCGTGAACTTCACTATGACTCGCAGCAGCTTGCAAAGCCAGTCTCTCGAGCAAGTTTTAAAGGCCGAACGTCCCGAAACTGATCAAAGGCGTAAAGATCTCATGAAGATTCAGGGCGAATTCCGTTTGCGACTGCGAGCTCTGGAGAAACTCTTGTTACAAGCTTTGAACGAGTCTACTGGCAACATCCTCGATGATGACAAAGTTATTTTCACGCTGGAGAACCTGAAGAAAGAAGCTGGCGAGATCATGAAGAAGTCTGCAGACACAGAAATCGTCATGGCACAAGTCGAGCAAGTCACCTCTGAGTACTTGCCCCTTGCCCAAGCCTGTAGCTCAATCTTCTTCGTCTTGGAACAACTCAGTGTTGTTCATCACTTCTATCAGTTCTCACTACGTTTCTTCCTGGATATCTTTGACTACGTCTTGCTGCATAACCCTAACTTGGCCGGAGTCAAAGAGTCATCGACGCGCCTACAGATCCTAATCAACGACCTCTTCATGAACACATTCAAAAGAACATCCCGTGCGCTGCTACACAAGGATCAGGCAGTGCTAGCGGTATTGTTGGCCCAAATTCAGATGAAAGGAGTTGGGGAGAATGAGCTACTTGACGAACTGGAGCTCTTTATCGAAAGCAGCGATATCAATGTCACCATCAATATCGAGACGTCTGACGAAAAACCAGCAAGTCTATCTGTCGATCAATGGAACCGTTTGAAAGCGTATTCAGCAAAATTCAAATTCTTCCGGTACCTGAAAGACCATATCATCCATCATGACGATGTATGGCAGCAGTTCAGAATATCAGCCGCCCCAGAACTAGCCGTGCCATGGATATGGGAAGAAGAAGAGAGACGTGAGTGTAGCTCTATCGCAGCTTTCGCAGTCGAATTAACAAGTAACTATAGCACTCACAAAGGTGGTGCGGAATCTGCTGCTTCTGAAATGCTTGAGGCCGGATCGTCTCCTGCAAGCGACATCCCATTTCGTCAACGCTGTTTTCCATACTGATTTAGCAGACGAGAGCGCGTACAATCTCAAAGCGGTTGTATCCGATGAAGTGCTCGCTGTAAACCCCGTCGCCGTGGTGTCTGTTCCTGGTTACGATGCTAGCTACCGAGTGGAAGACTTGGCTCGCGATAACAATGCAAAATTATCATCTGTCGCTATGGGGTCTCAGGAGGGATTCTCTTTGGCAGATCAAGCTATATCTGCGGCTGTACGACAAGGGGCCTGGGTCCTGTTGAAGAACGTGCATCTCGCTGCTTCGTACCTTAGCCAATTGGAGAAGCGCTTACAGAGCTTGAACCCGGCGAAGAGCTTCCGACTTTTCCTCACCATGGAGGCGAACCTATCTATCCCTGTCAACATCCTTCGTCAGTCACGTATTCTCATGAACGAGCCTGCCCCGGGTGTGAAGGCGAACTTGCTTGAATCTCTTCAAAGCATATCACAACATCGGCTGTCACAAGGACCGACCGAAAAGATACGGTTGTACTTCCTTGTTGCTTGGTTCCACGCTGTAGTGCAAGAACGCCTACGTTATGTACCGCTGGGGTGGAGCAAAACGTACGATTTCAACAATTCCGACCTCGAAGCGGCTTTCCGTACGATTGACGGCTGGTTATTGTCTGCTGCCAAGGGAAGGGCCAACATGGATCCAGCGACTATTCCTTGGCCAGCAATTCGAACGCTACTGAAGCAGTCCGTCTATGGTGGGCGCATAGATAGCGACTTCGACCAGCAAATCCTAGATGCATTCATTGACGCGCTTTTCACCCCAGCAGCGTACAATGTGGACTTTGATCTTGTTCCGGTAATTCAGAGCGAGCAGGCACTGCAGCCGCCAGATGGTGCGAAGATGAATCATTTCATGGAGTGGGTCCACAGACTTCCAGATATTGAGCCACCCGCTTGGCTCAGTCTTCCTCCGAATGCTGAGAAGCTAATTGCCATCACGGAGGGTGAGGCTTTGCTTGGAAAACTTCGCAAAATGAGGACAATTGCCGATGACGATGACGAAGCTGTGGCAGTACCAGGTCCTTCTGGGACAAACGACACACAACCAGGTTGGATGCGCGCACTGCTCCAGCACTGTCAAGACTGGCTGTCTTCTCTACCAGAGGCAAGCTGTACTTGTTTCAACATTTGACCTTTGATTTACACTTTAAGCAGACACTTGCTTCATCCACGCAACGGGCAGATGAAGCAGATCCGTTAAAACGGCTCTTTTCTCGAGAAACTCGGGTCGGAAGCAGCCTTTTGCGGCAAGTTCGCCGAGACCTCGCCGACATAATTCTGGTTTGTAAAGGAGAATTGAAGCAGACTAACCATCTGCGATCCTTGCTTTCTCATTTAACTAAAGGTGGGCTACCACTCGTCGAGAAGTGGCATGTCTAATGTGGCCGCAGGTACGATACCATCGACATGGATGAGATACAAAGTTCCCCGAGGAATGTCGACTAGCCAGTGGATCACAAATTTCTCACAACGACTAGCTCAGCTCCAGGAGATTGGCAGTCTGAACGATTTCACCGGTGTCCAGGTTTGGCTAGGTGGCCTGTTTTACCCCGAGGCATACGTTACCGTTACTCGTCAAGCCGTTGCCCACCGAAACAGTTGGAGTTTGGAAACCCTCTCTCTGTGCTTAGACTTGGAAGAGGGTGGAAGCGGTGGTTTTGTAGTTGAAGGTTCGTGAAAAGCAGTTCGATTTCGAGAACTGAAATTAATCATTCCTTTCAGGGCTTGTGCTCGAAGGTGCCAATTGGCACGATGACACGCTGCGCCTGAACGATGGTGACGCGGTTCGGCTTAAGCCCTCTCGAGTACGGTGGGTCAAGGTCGATCCTGGTTCTGCCAACACCGTCAAGGCAAATGCTGTCACTCTCCCTGTCTACCTCAATGGTGATCGCAACGACGTTCTATTTACTGTTGATCTGCCATTTGAGGGGTGCGACAAGGGATGGATTGCGCAGCGGGCTATTTGTTTGATCGCCAGCGGATCAATCCAATAATGGAATATTTTTCTTAGTCTGTTACGGACCTATGTCATTCATTATTCACCGTTTCGTTTCGTCGTCAGGACGAAAACTTGGGTATCAATATTTTGGTTTGCTAGGCTATTTGGTATTGTTACAGGTTGGGTTGAGAGGTGCAGACTAAAAATGGCTAAAACCCCAAATGAAAGCTGTCAATCGCAGCGTGGTGCTTGCTGATGGAACAGAACCACAAGTCCACAAAGAACATCACGCCGATCCCGTGCCACCACGCCTCCAAGTCGTCCACAAAGACGGCAATGGTCCCTCTCCTTCAAAGACGTCGTCTGAGGCAGTCTCGGAAAATATCCTCGGCTCCCAGGCGTCTGGCATACTGTCCCACGGTCCAACACCACCTACGGCCCCATCCAACACCTGCACTCGGTGGCTCCGCAGAGCCCGCAGCACCAAGCTGAACCCGTAACGGCTCTTTTCCACATTCTGCCTGAACCGGCTCAAGCCAAACTTCTCGATCCTATTCTGCAGCAATCGGGAGAAGTTGGAATTGATCGTTGCGGTTGTTTCATGCAGGGTATGGGTAGGGTCGTCCGGATGTGGACGTAGATAGGCGTATTCCACGACCTTCATAATCTTGACATGGTCGAGGTTGCGGGTGCGAACCTGGGTTTCGCCTTTGATAGGATCAACTTCGCTCTCCTCGATGACCCAGGTCTCAGTGCGTGAACCGAGTAAGCCCTTGGGTGCCCATCGTGGTAGGTGACCCCGTTTCAGGATGAGGCGAGTAGTGATGAGGGTGCCACGATCGCTGAAGACACGGTCGATGACGTCGACTGATGCGATATGGGAGGCGAAGGGATTGGGGTAGCGAAGGAAGAAAGCGAGTGTTACGGTCGAGAATGGTTCACTAAGCAAAGATAGGTTGTGAGCATTCGATTGTCTTGGTTTGTGAAGTGACAGGTGGCATACTCGTATGCATGACTATGGCGGAAGAATTTCATTCTTCACTGCACGAGATCAGGTGCCAGAAATAAGATAAAGGTGACAGAGATAGATGAAGAGAAGGTAGTCGCCCGACCAAGATTGACAGGAGGAGAAGGGAGTAAAGGAAGCGGCGGGCTGTCCGGTCGAGCGACACCCAAGAGTGGTGTGAGGTAATTGAGGTCTCGTGCGCAACCAACGGATAAAGGAAGCGGCAGTTCCGAAGCCACCTCAGCCTATGGACTTTTTGATTCCGCTTCCGGCAGATCGGCAATACGCGCCACGTCATTCGAGGTTTCTTTCCGTTACAATCTCCCCCAAGGCGTAGTTGGAAATACTCATACCGCATTAGTGGTACCGTTGCCACGTTCTCAAATACAACGCTGTTATAATGGCGCATATCGCCGATCCATCTTGACCCACCCCAAATCCGACGGAATCATCAATCTGAAATTCAGAATACAACATTGGAACTGAAGCTCTACACGAATCTTTCGACCTTTCTTAATTCTACCGGAACAATCCATAATAATCAGTAGGAGTCCTCCCCCCGAAGCAGTCGTACCACCTCCTTGCCGGCACCCATTGAAGCCTGATATCCTCCGCCATTGTAGCCTGCCTCGCCCAATAGTCAGTTACTGCTTGTGTTCTCGATTGATCACACAAACCATAGGAATGAACAATCGGAAGCTTGCCTCCCTCTTGCCTCTCAAGCCTGTACCCGCCCTTCCTCGTGCTCCTGACGCCCACGATGTCCATCACGAATTCCATCTGATCTACAGGTCCTAATTCCGGGCAGATCTTGTGCGCCCGCTGCTTAAACATTTCGCGCGAGGCCGGGTTAGGCTCTGGAGAGGTGTTGAACGGCTCGTTGATTCCGCCAAGGATCAGCAGGCCGCTCAGCGGGCGCGGAATGAGGTAGGTATACTCCGCCCCGCTGCGGATAATCAGCTAAACATGCTTGTAAGTGTAAGATCAACACGAGGTTGGCGTGCGGATCACCTTCTTGAAGCTGGTCCGGATAGCACACGTCTGCCCACGCTCGGGGAAAACCGCATCGTCCTTCACATCCTTGAGGTAGCGTGAGCCGATACCCGAGCAGTTGATGATCGCTTTCGCGTCTGGGATATGATCCAGCGCAGCACGTAAAGAATCGACCTCCACACGCATGATCTTAACACCTTTGGACTGGACCTGTTTAACCAGCCAAGGAAGGTACCGAGGCGGCTCCAGGGTCATGCTCGTATACGACACAGCGAAGGCGTACTGCGCTGGGTACTCGCTCGGTGAGAGTATGCGAAACTGTTGGAGCGGGCGTAAGTAGTTTCTTCATATAAAGGAATGCTCCTACGTCAGGTGCTTCCTTGCTGTACCATATAAGGCTCGGATCCGGCTTCTTGTCAAAGTACGTCTCCTGCGTAATTCGACAAATGCCACATTCCTCCGGCGCATACCTAGACGAAATGTCCCAGAACGTTTGGAACGTCTCTTGGGAGACGCGTCTCGCGCGAAAGGAGCCCCCCGCAGCGAAGCCTAGGCTAGCCCCAGCCCAGTCTGAGGTGTACATGATGTTGTTCTCCCCCGGGAACTACAGAAACAAACCTGAGGTGAGGCACGAGTGGTTACGAGAGATGGCTCACCTCCTTTGCCAGAATTGTCACCAGGTAACCGGCATCTGCCAGTTGGTATGCAGCAGAAAGCCCAGCAACACCGCAGCCGATAACAACAACAGGGGTTTGGTGGAGCTGCATCCTGTCTATCTTAAAGCGTAGTGTAAGATGCCGGATGATGGACAAGTCTAAGACACAGCAGTCCGTGAGTTCACAATCCTGGCGCGCCCATCTCACGCTCTTATATCATAGCAGGTAGAGACCGCGAAGCCAAGCATCCAATAGATGGGAACTCCATGTTGCGGTAAGGACCGGCAACGTTAACGTATATGTACGGGTTCGTCCTCACTTCGGTGCTGTTCCCGGAAATATACAGGCTTTCATACGGCCATTTTGGCGGAATTGGTTACGAGAAATAGGAGTGAGCAGACGAGGCAATGCAACGAGAGTATGCGAGCGTGTCCCCTTAATGGACAATGAAAACAACCTTTTTCGTGGTTCCGGTTGATGAATACCCTTATCGAACCGGGCGATTTATTGTTGCCCATGCTTCGCGACGTGCCCAAGCGGTCGGGTTCGGGAGGAAGGACGACGGTTGAGGGTTCACCAATTGGTCAACGCGCGCCAAATCTGATCCCGTTTTGAGTGGCTGATAGCTGTACAGTTTTTAGTTAAGGGCAGGCCACGTCAGGGTGGAGGCTGCGAAGGCGTTAGACGGACGCAAAGGAGAAGGAGGACCGTTCACAGCAAGTCATCCTCGACGTCGACCAACACACTCCGACCACTCGACAGGTGAGCATCTACAAAATTTCAACTTATTTCAATCCATACATCAAATCTACCTTCTCTCTTCTTCCCCCTCCTTTACCCCCATCCTTTTTCCCGGCTATTTCCCATTCAATTTGACATCTTATTGACAACTTCACCGCCAGCCGACATGGTCAACCTCCGCTCCCAAAAGCGCCTCGCCGCCTCCGTTGCCGGCGTTGGTAAGCGCAAGATCTGGCTCGACCCCGCAGAGCAATCCGAAATTGGAAACGCCAACTCCCGCTCTCACATTAAGAAGCTCATCAAGGATGGTCGCGTCATCATCAAGCCAACCGTCATCCACTCCCGCGCTCGCACCCAGGACCTGCTCGCTGCCAAGAGGAAAGGCAGGCACACCGGTCCTGGTAAGAGGAAGGGTACCGCTGAGGCCCGTATGCCCACCAAGGTGCTCTGGATGAGGAGGCAACGTGTTCTCCGGCGGTTACTGAGGAAGTACCGGGAGGCAGGAAAGATCGACAAGCATCTGTGCGCAAAATATCTCACCCCAACCATCGAATAAATTCTGATGGCTCTTTCAGTTACCACCAGCTCTACCAGAAGTCCAAGGGTAACGTTTTCAAGAATAAGCGAGTACTCATGGAGTACATCCACCGTGCCAAGGCTGAGAAGAGCCGTACCAAGCTGCTCAACGACCAGGCCGAGGCTCGCCGTGTCAAGAACAAGGTGAGCGGCCGGACTCCTATGCAATTTGCAATTTTATTGACCAAACATTCAGGCGGCTCGCGAGCGTCGTGTGGCGAGGATTGCGGAGAAGCGTGCGGAGATGTTCTCTGTTGAGGAGACACCGGCCGCCCAGTAGGCAGTTATTATGCGTCATGCCGTTTGTTTGTGCAGTTCACATGCGGGGCGAACCTGTGTATGCAATACACGCCATGGAATCATGCATACTCTATGAGGAACGTGATATATTGGTGCGTGAGGCGTCATTACAAGGGGGGTGTATTTTGGAAGTGTACAGAAGTCGTAAAACCCGAACGAAGAAAGCACCAAACTGAGAGAATGTGTCATGACGATATATCCTGCATGTTGTCCTCTCCAAAGAGCGTACGCAGGACGCCTTCGAATCCCTCTTTCCCACGAATGGCGTTCTGTTTGAATCGGTCGAGACTCATCTGCTCGATCTTCTGCCCCACAGTCTTCCACAGCTTCGTTCGAGCCTGAATCTCGGCCGTCTGGTGAAAGTGCGTGCGTGTATGAGGGAAGGATGTAGAGGGGACGTAGGTGATCTTCTCTACCACCGTCATGTATTCGCATAGCGAGAGGTTGGTTGAGTGGATCCATGTCTTTTTTGTTCTAGGGTCTACGAAAGAAACTTCCCGCACGTATGCGTCTTCTGTGCCACCAAGAAACTGTGGAACGGTCAGGATAACTCTCTGGGTCCATGATTATGTCTGACGCACCCTTATTGCCCATCCTGGTGCCGCCTGCTTACAACCAACCAGGCGCTCCGTTCGTATTACGCCAGTCTCCGGATGCACGCTTCGGTCAATGACGTCGACAGAGACAACATGGGCGCATTGAGGATTGGGGTATTTTTGCCACATGCCCACCTGGACTCTCGACCATGGGTGGCTCCCAGATTCGTCAGTGCACAGCAAAACTGCAACCAAGAGGTGGCTTACTCGTAGTGAAAGGCGGTCGAAAAATATTGCACCATTCTTTCGATCTGGTTACGAGTCGATGAATGTTGTGCTTTTAATGGGCCAGTGGCAGGGGGGGGGGAGGTCGGCTTCTAGAGGGGCCGATGAGGGCGAAAGATGAAAAGAGGAGAGAGAGGTGCGTGGATGAGCGCTCCGCGGCGATGAAGGACTTTGAAGCTGGAGCTTGAAGAGAAAAGGGATCGGCTGACGGTCGGATCAGCAAATGAGAGGCCTCCCGTTTGTTCCCGATAACAAGCTCCACACTTCTGACAAAACACAACACGTTCAGCGAACAGCGCCGGAAAAACAACGACGAACATACAAGTTACTATCACCGTTGTAACTCAACTTGCAGCTGTTCACTCTTGAAGGAAGGGAAGCAGGGTGTCGATCAGCCTCCCTCCCTAAAAGCATTACGTTTGGGTCACACGAGTAACAAATGGAGGCTTTTCCCACGGAACACCGGAAGCGTCGACGTCCCTGAATGTAACCCGGGCCGATGACCATTGATAATATCGTCGGTCCATCGGCATCCGTTATCAACATAGTAACTGATTCTTGGGTGACAAATGTTCGTCACTCTGTCAACTTCCATCTCAAACGTTCGCTGATACGATTCCTGCCGAACTGCACATTACACCTCCACTGCTTTCACATCTTCTTCTGCCATCACCTCGTCCGATTCCTCGACCGAGGGCGGCGGCCACTTCTTCAGCACAAAATGTACTAATACGATGATGATTGCTGGACAGCACTGAGAATCCAGCATTGGGGCGAACAATTGCACTAACCGCCAGAAAAGCAGAATGCCGCATTGGCGGCATGTCCTTGCCAGTATTGTGGTCCGTCCGAACTGGGGTAAAGCTGGCTGCCATAAACTGAGCTAAGGTTCGAAAGTGTGTTCACGAAGCCTGCTCGCGGTTAATCTCCGTCGCAGGAATAGAGTGTCACGTGCATACCGATCGCAAATGCACGCTTCTCCGGTGGGAAACGCATTGTGTCGCTGAGCCAGGACAGAATAATCGGTATAGGGGCCCAAACACCAGCACCGCAGAGGAACAAGGCGAAGTACTTGACAGCGTCGTTGGTAACTTTCGTCAATAGAATGAATCCAATCCCCGCGATTGTTACTGGCGCTGGATCAGCCCCTGGGCTTAACATGGCACATTTTCTCACTTGGAACGGCAGAATGCCACGCCCTTTGCTGGTTCCAATCGCAGACGGTTCCATTAGTCATTACTACAATGCCTGCCCAGACGTAAGGGGGAGATGACATAGCCTGTGCAATCGCCGAAGTATAACCAAGATCTGCCACCAAAGTTGGGATCTTCGCAGAAGTACATATCAGGATAGCACACTTCAAAAAGGAAGAAAACTCACAAAATACGTAAACGTCCCAGCACATGTGGCAGTCATGCAAGCTATTCAATATCTCACTCAATGTCTCACTCTTTCTGTGCTGGTCTCTGGTGACACGTACGCAAAATGAAGAGGTATGTTCTCCAATCTCTCAACGCTAATTTGAGACCTCGGAGGGAAATTTGCCTCTTCTTTCCCCTTTCATGCCCGTCTCGAGCTAGGCGCAAGTCGGCAATCTGTCGCTCCTCAGTTGAAAGCCACCGAGTTGATAGGGGACTATGGGACACAATTAGGTGTGCACATCGTCCGGGTAGTAAGCATACACCTACAAATCAGGCAAAATGACGATTGCCAACAATGCAACGGCAATGGTTGCAACCCCTTCAATCAAGAATAACCCTGGCATATGTCAGATAGAATAGAAACGTGGGTCGGAAGTGCTGACAGCGCCATGCCGTTATTCCCCGCGCATCAACCAAATTGTTGGTAATGCCGTAAGCCTAGAAATCGGGATCAGCTTGCATTCCAATGCAATCTTTAAACTGACGAAGAGGCCCCCGAACGCGCCACTGACGATGCTGATTGAGAGTATCACTGAATGCTAAGCAATGCTCAATCTTGATAATCCGCTTACGATCCAGTGTACAAAAGACAGACGCGCTTGGCCAATTCCTTTCGCGTGTACCAGGAAGAAAGCAAGAAAATCGCCCCTGGGAAAACCCTATGTAAGGTGAGTCTGTGCTTGAAGCGCTCCGCTCGCTTATTGGTCTCACCCAGCTTCGACCACCCCGAGGAAGAAACGAACGACAAGAAGCCCTTGGTACGACTGAACCGCGGCTGTGCATGCTGAGATTGTAGCCCAACAGATCATGATTATAGGCAGATAGATCGAAGGTTTTGTGTAGGCAAGGATCAAGTTCGATGGTCCTTGAAGAATGAGATATCCAAAGAAGAAGATTGACAACGCCCAGTTATAGCGAGAACCATCCAGTTGAAGATCGTCCGCCATGCCCGCGATACGTGCTTGGACGAGAATCAGTTAACGACGAGGCATGGCTGCATCATGCACATGCACTTACCGTTTCCGATGTTAGTGCGATCCAGATAGTTGCTGGGAAAGTAAGCAGATGTTTGAGGTAGACCGACTCAGGGACGAACAATATGTATATCAGAAAGAGCATGGGTAGTAGATGTGCGTCAATCTTCCTGACAAGCCGTCTCTCTCTTTTAGAAGTCCATGCTAGGTCCACCAAGTGAGCTTTGTCTTTCTGACTGTGTTCCAACTGAACGGCGGCGTCACGCTTCTGCCCATCGTCCTTGCTTGCCACCATTTTGGAGCTGTTAGATGCGAGTCCCATGGTGGGAAGTAAGCAGGATTCCATCTCATAAATACCACGCTTGGTCTAGCGGGTGCGTCGGACCGACCGGTCGCTAAAAGGTGATTCATCTCAATTGCGGATGAAGAGTTGCCCCGAAGAAGCCCAGAAGCATCGCGTTACCCCGCATGGAATGGCCATCTTTCGAACTAAACGAATAGCATTTAAACGATGGGTCGATCATCTGCGTCCTCTTGAGCCTCGGTCTGTTGTATAGCATATGCATGAGAATGGTTTCAGCAGAGAACCAGGGTCACTACTGGTGATGGTCGTAGCAGATGTGAGTTGATCCCGCCGGCGCTCGCGCATATTCTCCAGATAACGGAGTCGTGCATTCGTAGCAGGCATACATATATCGTAAATCAACTTTCTACGCTAGGCTAAACCGTCACTGGAACAGCCTTCGTCGTCGTGCCTCCAATGAGGTGCTCTCCATCATCTTCGCCAATTTCACCCTCCCAACCGTTCGCTGCCAGGAACTCCGCAAATTCAATATCCTCCCTCGCGAGATCATCGCCCGTCAACTTGGGCACAAAAGTGTAAGTGACGATAATGCCGGTAACACCGCAGATAGCAGCAATAATAAAGATCCACTTTTTGCCGAGGTTGTTCTGAATTGGGGTGAAGGCCTGGGTGCCAACAGCCGCACCGGTCTTGCCAAGGGCCGCGGAAATGCCGTAACAGGTCCCACGGACAGCGGCTATCCAACAGTGAGAAAATTCTCAGCCAAGGCATGAATTAGCTTACTTGCATAGCTCTCAGAAGAAATCAAACCCAGCATATCACCAGGGCCCAGGTTGCCAAAGCTGTTCATCAAGCCGTAGAACACAATGAAGAGCGGAACAATTTGGGTTATCCGGTCGTAGGCACATCCAATAATAAGTCCGAACACAAGATAGCCAGAGAAGCCCAGCATCATGGTATTCCGCCTTCCGATCCTAGCATTAGTTGTAAGTCAGATCATCTGAGCGACGGAACACGCAGCAAGCCTTACCGGTCACAGAGGAAGGCACCCACAAATACACCAGGAAGCGCGATAGTACCTAGGAGCAACTGCCATTCTGCCCTTAGTTCAGGGAAAAAAAGACATGAGCATGATTCAATATACCTAAAAGACGTGCGTACGTGCTCTTGATGTCCTTATTAGGTACCACGCTAGAGATGATAGTGCCCGAGAAGATACCGTTGGGGAAAGTGACGAAATCGTACAGGAACCAAGCACCGCAGGTGCCGATCAGGCGCCTCCAATACTTTTTGAAAACCAGACCGTACGGAACACGCTCTGATGTCGGTCATAAGTGGGACCAAGGAGGCGTATAAGCAGGAAACGACCTACTCTTGATGGCGCCTGCACGATACAGCCGACTGTTGATCATCTTCAGTCGGAAGATGAGCACAGTGAGAGGAAGAAGAATGCCGATTCCAAAGCACACACGCCACACGGTACCAAGATGATTTTCCCCGGCCGCGCTCAAAACGATGAGGAACACAGAGACGGCAAGGGGACCACCAAATGACAAGACGAAGCTAAGAACTTGTCAGACATGGAGAAATGTGCTCTGATGGTCAACGTACTTAGTGACCATAATGAACACAGGGCCACGGTGTTTCAATACCCGCTCATTCGCCGCCTCACTGGCGCTCACAGAGCCAGCAGGATACTCACCACCAACGCCTGACGGCCGTCAGACTATTGGTATGCGAATGGACAAGACATACGTACCGACACCAGTGATACCACGAGCGAACGTAAGACACCAAAAGAGACCATCGACACTCCCGTTTGCCCCGTTAGCTGCAGTTCCGATGAGGGATCCAAGAGCGATAAACAGCGTGGTCGTCACGATGGCGGTTTTGCGGCCAATCCGGTCTGTCATGATACCAAAGAATATCTGGCCAAGAATTTCTCCCACGAGCAAGGCATTGGAGACGCGAGTTGACACAACCGATGTATAACTCGTTGGGTAGATCAAACCCAGGATGACATTGGTCATTCTGGAGAGGCTCTGTTATTGCTCATGTGGGTCACATAAGTATGCGTACGTCATGAGGGAGTTCTGGTAACCATCGCTAATAAGTCCGGCACCAGCCGCAATGATTGTGAACAGACTGCTTGTTCTGTCACGAGGCGACTTCGCTTGAGAGTCCTCCTGAAAAGTGGGAGCCGCCACGTCGCCGGGCAGGCCGCCCTTCTCGTCATCGAGCTTGTCGTCGAAGGCACGGTCGAGATCTTTTTCGCCGTTCATGGTATGGAGACGGGAAGATAGAGGAGTTTCCAAACGTCAACGATGCTCCAAGCGTGGGCATACGACCTTTTATCTCATTGATGGGCATGTCCGAAATCGAAGGAAGATCAGGTACAGTGCCTCTGAGAAGACTTGGGAGGCTCATTGACATGCCAGCGCACGTGTGCACCAGTCAGCATATGGTGGATCAACAGCCAGATGCTGTACATGTGATGCAAGGATGACTTCTGCGGAGCAACTCCATGATCCATCAATGGATCAACAATATTGTTGCAGCATATGGTTGTGTTTCTGACTGTTGGCGACCCTATCCCGTGTGTCCCTGGGGCGACGTGAATATTTACATCGGACCCTTTTTGTACATTAGGTGTTTAAGTAGTGCGAACGCACCCACCGTTCACATCGGCCCTTCAACAGGCCTTCCATTCGATGTTTTAGGACACACGCCATAACCCTCATTCAGTCCTATATACTGCACCCGCGCTGCCGCATCGAACGTGTTCTTAACAACTTCGTGCGAAATATTGTTCTGTGCGCATCCGGGAGGCTGAACTACCGGCTTTGTTTATCGGTTATGTGCCGGTTCGGCATTCAGATCCGCCAAGCCCAAGGCCATGTATTTATTTTAGGAACACTGACAATATTGATGTGACCACCCAAATTTATCTCACCAGATCGGCGCTCATTTGATATTGGCGACAGCCTTGGTAGCGCACGTTCGTCAATACCCTGTCTTTTCTCTTCTGATGCACACTAGAAGCAAAAGATTGGTTTGAGGCTCCTCCTATAAGTCAAGGATGGGACGCAAAATCGAGGTTCTTTGCATAGCCACTTATGAGGAAAAGCTCGATCATGTGATCGTCTGAGCATGTTCGAACAAAGACGACTATCATGAACACCTGCCTTTGTCCTTCAACTCCGTGGGCACTTATACTGCGATCTTTCATATTGCCTCTATAACCTCTGTCAATGATTGCTCTTGTTTTCTCCGTACTTATTAGTCTATGTCTCTTCTACCTGGGATGGTGCCTATGGACCATAGTCATCTACCACTGGCTGTTTTCGCCAATCCAACAGCTACCTGGCCCGGTGCTTCAGAGGTTCTTTAGCACTAATCTGCAGTTCGTCATGGAGTAAGATGCTCTAAGTAACGACGAATCCTCTACTAATGCGTTCACAAGACCCGAAATGTCACCGCATTACCACGACAAATGGGAATCGGTGTATGGCAAGACATTCTGCATTCACGGGTTCGGCAAGGCAATTATTTTGCCTGAGGTCCCCTCCTTTCTTGTTCATGGATTTCTTAGCTCGATCCACGAATCTTGACTCTCGATCCGAAGGCAATGACCCATGTTCTCAATGAACCCATCACGTACCCTAAACCGTGGCAATCCCGCAGGCTCATCAGCGAATTGATCGGCAATGGCAAGCCGGCCCACCAATGCAAGGCCCGTCCACTGATTTAGTCAAGGTCTCTTTTCCGCGGAAGGGGCCTCCCACCGTCGACAGGTCTGTAATTGCCTACAAAGATAGCACCGTTCGTTGAGTTGAGACAGCGCAAGGTTCTGAATCCCGCCTTCTCCAATCACAATCTTCAAAGTTTCGGACCGCTGTTCACCAGTCAAGTGTTTAAAGTATGTTGCCATCATACTCTTATCCTTCTGACACTGACCTGAGTCCATAGCTTCGCGATGCATGGAAGGCTCTTCTTGGCAAGGAACGCGAGGTTTCTATAGACGTGGCTCACTGGTTTTCAAGGGCGACTTTCGATGTGATTGGCATCGCAGGTTAGTTGTACCCTCAATGTCTTTCTCATGAAGTGTTTCATTGGAAAGAAGGTTTTGATTATCACTTCAACGCATTGGAAGCAGAAAGCAATCCTGTGTACCTGGCGTACAGGGAGATGTTCCAAGTGGGCGTGGACGATGGCTTTACTGCACGGTCAATTTTAGAAGTCTATCTCCCTATCCTCAAGAAGATCTGGGCAAGTATTGAATTATCACACGACCAAGAGCGCTATCAGTTGACATTCTCAAAAGCCAGATAAAAGGACAAACACCATCCGTCGGAGTCATGACATTATATACGGTGTGGGTCGCCAATTGCTGGAACGACGGAAGAAAGAGCTCGAAGAGGACCGCCGGACAAGTTTGCATACGAAGGATCTGCTGGGTCTCATGAGTGCGTTGACCCTCAGTACCCATCTTCTTCTGACCATTCTTCAACACACAGTTTTTTCCAACCTCTCACCCGATATCACGGAAGATCAAAGAATATCTGATCAAGATATGCTTGATGAGATCAACTCGTTCTTCTTCGCTGGTAGCGACTCTACGTCCCTTGCGTTGTCCTGGACGCTATATCTTCTTGCGACAACTCCAGAAGCGCAAACCAGATTGAGAAAAGAAGTTCTCTCCCTTGACGCCGATGCCTCGTTTAAGGCTATTGATGCATTGACTTTCCTCGACAAATGTTGCAGAGAAGAATTACGTCTCATTCCTCCTGTTCACAGTTCGCTGCGAGTCGCGGATCGTGACGACATTCTACCCCTTTCAACGTCAATTCAACTCCGAAACGGCGAGGTCGTTGATCAAGTTCACGTGCCAAAAGGAACCTGTATCCACATACCCATCGAGGGTTTCAACCTGTTGTCAAGTGTCTGGGGACCAGATGCACACCGCTTCAAGTGAGCTTCACAGTCAGCGTTTGTTTAGCATAAGCTCACGAAACGTAGCCCAGACAGGTGGGATAATTTGCCCTCTGCTGTAAAGGATCAGCCTGGGCTCTATTCTAATCTAATGACGTTCTCCGGCGGTCCCCGGGTGATTTGTTTGTGCTCTGTTCCAAGTCGAAACTGACACGCCGTTCTACTAGGGTTGCATTGGGATGCGATTTTCTATCATGGAGTAAGCTATTTGAAAGCTTTCGCTTCTCACACATCTAAATTGGACATATCAGAATGAAGATTTTCCTTTTTCAACTCGTCCGGTCCTTCGAATTCGTCGCAAAGGAGAAAGTGGTGAAGCGAAATGTGTAAGCTTCACATGGTCCAGCGACGTGAGACTGAGGGTTCTGTTCAGCGTACTGACACGTCCATTCGTGCTTGGAAAACGTAGATCGCAGCTTCCCATAATTATACGCATGGTGGACAGTCGCGACGAGGGTACCACATTATGAGGCTGATGTTAATACCCATTTATGAATGCGATATATTGAACATGTCAAGCACGAATCAGGGCACAAACGCTCTTCATTCCCGATCACCCAGCCCCTTTTGCCGCTCCTCTTCCCATCGCCTTCGCACAACTTTCGCCTCCTGCGTAAACCGAGAATATGGAACGGTGATTCGTCTCCGAGAGGCGTGCATAGTGTCGTCGTCATTACGGATGACCTGCAAAGAAATCAGGAGATATTGGCTAGGGATTTAGACCACACCTACAGATCCGATGGCCAGGAAGAACGAGAAGGTCGCCGCACTGGAGAGCATGTATTGTGAAAGCGTGGGGAGGAATCCTCGCGGTCCTGCGCCACCTCTGCCAACAGTCAGCTTTGGAGCGACCTGTACCTTATCCAGGAGCGCACCTTAGGATTGAATAGCTTCCAAAGATAAACCCAATTGTCAGACCCACGCCAGCGCCCATCATTGCTCCCATCCTACACAATTATATGAGTTCTTGTCAAATGCATGCGCGTCTAAGGCCCACTTGACTGAAGCAGACAAGAGTCAGAGCGGCTTCTGGTTCCAGAGAAAGCGCACTCACGCTTTTCCCAGACTGTAGGTCCAGCAACCGGTCGATTCATGTTGCTGATCGGATATGATACTGAAGCAGAAGAAAATTTGGCGAGTTGAAATAGCGCCCAGTGTGGGTTACAACACTGAGGAATCCCTGGCGGCATTTAGACTCCGCTCAAACAATGGGCTCGGCTACTGAGCGCATATGCCATACCAGCGGGGATCGAGTCAAGGGACAGGGTTCCACCCTAACCCTTCTATTCACCCAACCTAACCGTAGCAGTTGGGGTTTATAGTAGTATGGATACCTCTTACATAATTACTATGACTACAAATATAATCTTATAGGTTGTAGGGTTAGGGTTAGGGTTAGGGCTAGGGCTAGGGTTAGGGTTAGGGTTAGGGTTAGGGTTAGGGTTAGGGTTAGGGTTAGGGTTAGGGTTAGGGTTAGGGTTAGGGTTAGGGTTAGGGTTAGGGTTAGGGTTAGGGTTTTTTCTGAATTATTATCATGATTATCTATTCCAAGCTGAGTATTATTATTGTTAGCACTGTTATTAATATTAGAACTACTACTCTCATTCTCACTATTATTATTGTTATTAGAAAATTATTATTATAGACATTTTTATTGTCATCATTAAATTCAGAATTATTATTATTAATATTATAACTATTATTATTATTATTAGAGGTATTATTATTAATTTCATTATTACTTTCATTATCAGAACTACTGCTATTGTTATTATCATTTTCATTATTATCTCATAA